CACGGATAGGCGGCACTGATATGCAGCACTGATAGGCGGCACTGATAGGCGGCACTGATAGGTGACACTGATGATGGGTACTGATAGACGGCACTGACTGGCATCACTTCTGGGCACTGACTGGCGGCACTGACTGGCACAACCCCTGGGCACTGACTGGCGGCACTGACTGGCACAACCCCTGGGCACTGACTGGTGGCACTGACTGGCAGCACTGGTGGGTGGCACTGGTGGCAGCACTGGTGGGTGGCACAGGTGGGTGGCACTGGTGGGCACAGGTGGGTGGCACTGGTGGGCACAGGTGGGTGGCACTTCTGGGCACAGGTAGGTGGCACTGCAGAGTGGCACAGGTGGGGGCACTGCTGGGCACAGGTGGGGGCACTGCTGGGAATGGGTGGGCGGGGCTAGTGGGCGCACTGCTGATCGGAACTTGCGGGGGTCACTGCTGGGCACCGATCATCAGGGCACTGATCATCAGTGCCCTGATGATCAGTGCCGATCCCCGCTCTGACAACTGCCGGTTCTCGGCAGTACTTTCCTCACGATCTGACAGCGTGAGGAAAGTGCAGCCGAGAACCGGCACTTGCATTTTCCTGTGATCAGCGTGTCATTGGACACCGCTGATCACGTGGTAAAAGGCCGGTGGGATCGGCCTTTCACCACATCACGTGATCAGCTGTGTCCGTAGGACACAGCGATCACGGAGATCGCCGGTGCGCGCCCCCTGGGGCGCGCAGGAGAGCGCGTTCTGGGAGGACGTCATATGACGTCCACTCAGAACTGGCCGGCCGCGGTGAAGCCGTCTTTCGGCTATGCGCGGTCGGCAAGTGGTTAAAATGTTTTATGATCTGAATCATTTAGTTGTGACAAAAATGCCCAAAAGAATACTTTCAGGGCACTGTATATAATGATGGTAGACAGACTAATGATATGCAACAAATAGCCAGTCGCATTTTGCGTTAATTGATCCATGTCCGTGATTGGCTTTAGGTTACTGCAATGTTCACATCATTCTTTGCTAGATGAATCCACTTCCTTGTGTCAAGTGTTTGTATTTCTTCCACCTCTAGGACTGTGTCTGAGTGGGCAACTGTTGCCTCTGATATCCACGAGGACAATGGAACCAATCAAGAGGTGGGATGTAATGTATTTTAAATGGTTTTTATCTGTTTTTTTTTCCCCCTACAAGAACATGATACAGTGGTAATAAAACAAAAGAAGTTTAATTTAGCATATTATGAATGCTAAAACCTTATAATTTGATATAGTAATATAACTAAAGTGATTTGTAAAGGTAAATTTTTTTTTTTTTTGTACATGAATACATTCTGTGCATTAAAGTGTTACTGTCAGGCTCTGCCCAACGGGATCTCTAGTGGTCCACGGCACGGGGTTTCCCAGGACGCGGAGTCTAAGTCCCAGTCTGCCTTTTCACCAGGGCCCCTGATGGTGGGATGGACTTGGTGCAAGACTGGAACCAGGTCGCGCCCCTGGGCACCCCCGGCGGTGGTAGAGGGGTCCCGCTGAGGGTGTGTGCCCAGGATGAGCCTGCTGTGAAGGGGATGACAGGTCCCGATCCGAGCGGGATGGATGGATGACTGCTAGGAGTGAGCGAGGTCAGACTAGCCGGGTCGGTATCGTGCGGGCAGCGTGGTACAGGAGAAGTAAGCGGAGAATGGTCGGGGTCACAAGCCAGGTTCAGCAGGTAGCGGGCAGCGCGGTACCGAGGATCAGGCAGAAGGACGGTCAGGAACGAGCCGGGGTCAGAGCAGGAGAGGGTCAGCATAAATCAGAACAGGCAGAGTTTGGCAACAAGGAAACGTACTTACAGGAACAGGAACAAGACCTTGCGGCAACTTGGAGATGCACAGGGCAGTTTTAAATAGAGCGCCCTGTTCTCCCATTGGTGCGGCTGCGATCGCCGAGGACTCTGTGCTCGCCGGCTCGGACGGATCGGCAGTCTGCGCATGCGCGCACCGCCGAGAGCCCGGGATCCCTGACCGTTACTAAACCCCAGACCCTGCATTCACTATATCTGGGCTCCCACAGTACACAGAACATGGAAATGTTATTGAGTAAATTGAAACTGCTAAATACCTTTTCTCATCAGCAGTATAGAGAACTCTTATGACGTCTATCAGTATCAAGCTGAGCTCTGGTTAAAGCTTGTAGGAGGAGTTTTAATTCTGCTCTGACTGTCCTATGAGGCTGCATAACCCCTGACCCGCTGCCTGGACAACGCTGATTGGCCCTGTGCCGATCGCATGCACCCTCCCAAGAAAAAAAAAAAACAAAACTCTTAACAAATCACCTTTATTGCCTTGCCTGTTTTGAAGTCCTCTCCCTTCTGACCTCTCAGATTCCCTTGTCGCTCCTTATGCACAAGATGGTCTTTTAGTTGCCGTTACCTTGACTCGCAGAGTCCCAAAGTAGACTGCACAATCCTGAATTTTTACCAGAATAGGAAGGCATTGAGGCATTGGTTCTTACCTAAGGTGGTTTCTTCATTTAAATCATTGTGTTGCCATCTTACTGGTCAATGTGAATATTTGCCAGTACATTATGGATCTTCAGATTGGGTTCAAATGTTTAAACCGCAAAGTGCAGTGCTTCAGAGCTAGGGGGCAAGGGCTTCTGCGTGGCTCTGAAATGTTGCACTCTCCTGTTTGTGATGTGATCTTTCTTCAATAAAAAAATGTTCTGAATTAATTTGAACATTTGTATGCTGGCAAATAGGCATTATACTGTGCATGTCCCAGCCTCCAGTTGGTGGTTATTGCAGCACCCATTATTTTAGAGCCTATTCCAGGAATGTTTGCAATTTGAATATGGACTATTTCCTTCCAGGTCCGGGCCCATTCCACCAGGTGAGTCAGTAGTTCCTGGGCTGTTTAGTGTGTCGGACCGCCTGGCACCCTGCTTGGGTGCTTCCTTCAGAGAACTGCTTCCTCACTGCTGGAATACATGGTATTATAGCTGGGCACTGCACAAAAACTAGAACGACACTAGCTTAAGTGCAACAAGGAACTCCTTTATTGAACTGAAATCGGTTTTTATACACTTAGGGACAGCCCCCACATGAACAATAAAAACAAATATTACGCATTAGGATAAACATTTTACACAGATTAGGTAATGAGGTCAAGTTGGCACAAGACTAATCCCATCATGTAGGAACCTCCAGGAGGACTAGCCAACAGACAGAAACAATTTGTGACTGAATTAACAATGGGACAAATGCACAGCTGTAAACACCTCATACCTTAATAAACAGATTACAGCAAGAGACCTCAGCATCAGCTTGTTTTGAGCTGATTACATTAACATTTGCTCTGAGTCTCTGAGCATTGGAGGGGGTTTGAAGCAGTCATGCTGGTTGGGACACATAGACCCCAAATCTGTATCTGAGTCTACTAGTTCTCAGTCTGTGCGTTTTGGGGAGACATGGACTTTAATCCGAAGTAAAATTACTCCAGAGGTCCCCCAGGTACACATCTCCCAAAGAATAGAGTCCCCTCAGATGCCAGGGCCCATGATCAGTAGGCCGAGGCCCATGATCAGTAGGCCAGGACCCATGGTCAGTAGGCAAGAGGCTAGCCTGCAGACCCCTCCAAAAGACCCTGTCCTGATTGGGTCTTTCACATTCAGCATCGAGATTCCTTTGTCAAGATTATAAAAATACTGCCTGGTCTTCCCTTCAATTACTTACTACTACAAGGTAAGTGTTTACTACTCTACAGATGCCAGTTTGGGACGAGACGTTTTGTAGTGGGCGTACCTCCTGTTTTGGGCATGTGGGCCTTGTTGTTGCTCACCCATCATGTTTAGTGCTTTGGGATTCCAATATTATGAATATGAACTCCTCTGTGTCCTGTATGTAGGTGTGAGAAATTAGGATTTTGGTATACCTGTAAAATTCCTTCGAGTACATCACAGGACGCAGATTTCTAACCTCTTGTCTGTTTACATTGCTTGCTGCAAAATTGAGGCTTAGTGGAGCAGGGAGGGGTTATGCCTAGGCGGGGATTCCTGCCATTCTTGGATAGTGTCCACCTACAAATGGCGGCATAAAACAAGTAGTCATGAATATTCACTCTTCTGTGTCCTGTTACATACTTCTAATGGGTTTTACTGGTAAACCAAAAATCCTGGTTTTACAGTTCTATTATGGCGACTAGGTCACTTAAATCTTTCCAAGGGCAGTCTACTGGGTTTCCTTTACCTTTTTTTTTTTTTTTTTTTTTAGATCACTTTTGAAAACTATCAAATGTAGCTTTAAATTTCTTCTTTTTTTTTTTTTGCAGTCTGTGCCCCAGATTTCAGAATTCCACTGTAACAATTTGCTTCGCATTAATGGTCACCTGTCGTCTAAGAAGTGCAAACCTGATGCAGGTATTGCACCAAAAGTTGTTGAATCGAAGATTAAATCCACTGACCCTGCTACAGCTACTAAAAGTGAGACAGATTACAGTCTTGCTTTGAATGAAAAAGAGAAGAAAGGTGAAAGCCTTCATTTGGAAAAAGAAGGTTCAAAAGCAGATAACCATTCCGCTGCAGAGGATTCCCCTAAATTACAGGACAAAAAAGGAAATGAAAAGTCTGGTAAGGAGTTTGTCCAAGAGACCAAGAAAGGTTCCACTCACAAAAAGGAGACAAAGGGGAAAGAAAATGCTAAAAAAGACAAAGATCAGGAGAAAACAAAGGACGCCAAAACTGTGAAACATGCTAGAAAGGACAATATAAAAGAGCCAGAAAATGGAGACCTGTCTGGAAGGAATAAGAAGCACACAGAGGACCACAAGAGATCAACCAAAGATCCAGTGGGAGCAGTAAAGAGCACTTACGAAAAAAAAGATAAACACGAAAATGCACACAAAGACCATGGGAAGGAACTGGTGCACAAAGGCCATGATAAGATAAAGGTACCCACAGACCATGAGAAGGAGAAGAGGCACAGAGACCGTGAAAAGGAAAAAAAGAGGCACAAAGACCGTGAAAAGGAAAATGGGCACAAAGACCATGAGAAGGAAAAGAGGCACAAAAACACTGAGCAGGAAAAAATGCACAAAGATCATGAGCAGGAAAAGACAAATGACCATGAACAAGAAAAGATGCAAAGTGACCATGAGCAGGTAAAGACGCACAATGACCATGAGCAGGAGAAGGCGCACAATGACCATGAGCAGGAGAAGGCGCACAATGACCATGAGCAGGAGAAGGCGCACAATGACCATGAGCAGGAGAAGGCGCACAATGACCATGAGAAGGTGCACAGTGACCATGAGCAGGAAAACACACATTATGACCATGAGCAGGAGAAGGCGCACAGTGACCACAAGAAGGTAGAGGTGCACAAGGACCTCAAGAAGGTGCACAAAGAGCATGAGAAGAAGGCTCACAGAGGCCACGAGAAGGAAAGGGCGCACAAAGGCCATGAAAAGGAGAAGGCACACAAAGACCACTCTAGGTCTAAAGAGAGAGAGAGAAATACAGGTAATGACAAATCAAAGAATCATTCTGGAAAAGAGGGAGGTCGGTTACATACTAAGGAAGAAAAGGCAGACTCCCAAATACCAGTTAAAGAACTGGTAACTGATGTGAAGGGTATCTTTGGGAAAAGGATGCTGGTTGACCTGGATATATTTCAAGGTACACAGATAGAGGAGAAGAAACCAAAAACCAAAGACAGTAGTAAAGTTAAGTTCAAAGAAAAGAATCGCAGCAAAGAGGACAAAAAGGGAAAGAAAGGTGATGACAAAAAAAAACCATGAGAAGGTCGAAGAATCATCCAAAAGTATAAAGAGGGAACGAGAACATGACGAGAACATGGAATCTGATGGTGAGCAAAAGAAAAGGAGGGCTAGCCTGGATTTTGGAGACATGTATGTGGAAGACAAACAGGAGAATGAAGAGGACTCCAAAAAGGGCAAAGTTACCACTGTCAGAAAGAGGAAGATCGAGGAGGGAGGTGAGACAAAGACTAAGAAGAGCAAAACTGAGAGAGTGGACACAAAAACAAAGAAAAGCAAAGAGAACGGAGGAGAGGCGAAGAACAAAAAGAGCAAGGTGGAAGGAAATGTGGCAAAGACCAAGAAGAGTAAAGAAGAGAAACAGAAAGAGGAGGATGCAGCCAAGTGGAAGTGGTAAGTGTATGTTGTAGTAATAAGACAACATGGGGGAGATTTACTAAAGCTGGAGAGTGCAAAATCAGACTCACTTCTGCATAGAAACCAATCAGCTTCCAGGTTTCATTGCCAAAGCTTCATTGAACAAGCTGAGGTTAGAAGCTGATTGGTTTCTATGCAGAAGGGAGTCTGATTTTGGACTCTCCAGCTTTAGTAAATAAACCCCCATATGTCTAAAGTCCCAATCTGCAACATGCCAGTTTTCAGCCTGTGGTTTGCTGTGCTCCAGACCTAGAAGTGTGCTCTGACAGGTTATAGCTTTAGAGCCATCGGCTGTCAGTGGCAACTGCTGTCAAGTACTTGGCTTGGAAGCTGAAGTGGTCAACTCCAGGGTTCCTGCTACTGCTTGCTCCATATAAATGCTCAGTAGCAGAACACTGAATCCTATGCTGCTGTATTGTTTTTACAGCAGAAGGAATATGACAGTATGGCACGCCTTTCATTCTGGAGACTATAGGAAGGCCTATGCAGCTCTATACTGCTTTTTTTTTTTTTTTTTTGCAGCAATAGACCACTGCTTTAAATTACTGATTTGTTGCATGTAGAGCTATATGGGGAAAAGGGGGCTGGGTCAGGTCCCCACTGACCAGGTCCAGACACCCCCCTCCCCCATGAAGGAAATTAGTTTAAAAAAAAAATTGATTTAAATGGGTTAAAACAAATCTCTTAATTCCCATGTCCTAACACATACTTGGGATGCTTTTAAGGCTGGTACACCCAGGCCAAAAATCGTTCAGTGTGTACAGAAGCTGGTCTAAAGACAGACTTTTATTGAATGGGCATGCTGGAAAACCAGCATCCGATCAGCGTTTGCAGCCAATGGATGTGAGCACTGATCAGTGTGTTCTGGCAGGACGGGTAGTCCCCTTGTCAGAACAAAATGGCTCAGCGGGGGAGATTACCGCACTAACATCTCTAAGTTACTATGGCGATCACTGGGTTGAACAAAAAAAAAACACTCCATGTGTACCCAGCATTAGGACAAAGGGCCCAATACAAAAGTAAGTTAATCCCATGAGGAGGTGCATTAGACTTAATGAGGGCCATACCTAATGATCCTTCTTGCTATAGAAGGGTGGAAAGTAATCAGCCAATAAAGATTTCAAGATTCCTAACTTTTTATATTTTTAAGAAATTTCTTTTCATTATTCTGAGGTTTGGGTAACTGAAAAAAAGAGCTAATAGGTCCAACACAGATAAAGCATGGGGAACTTTCTACAGCTCAAAGAATCACCTGAAGGACCTTATGCCTGGAGCTGTCATCAGAAGATCAAAATGCCCACTTGGTAAAATCTGGAAATTATGTGAACTGAAGACACTGTAGTAGCTTTGCTAACCTGAGAAACTGATATCTGATGCTGAGATGACAGATCCTGAGCCCATACAAGATGCCAAAAAGAATCTCTTACGGAAGGAAGAAGTGTTTAAATGTGTTTTGGGCTGTTCAGGTTCTACCTCTCAATCTCCTTTTGTTGGACTGGATCTGGATACAGAAAGGAGGCAAGTGCCCTCATTAAGGTGAAACGCAGAGGCCACCTTTAGGAAGAAAGGTCTAATCTTTAAAACCACTTTGTCCCTGAAATCAAAAAAAGGTATCTTGTAGGATAAAGCGGTCACTTCAGACACTGCTCTAGCCAAGGTCATAGCAACAATGTAAACTAGCTTGCAAGTCATCAGAGGGGGTATTGCCTCTAATAGACATGAACAGGGGCTGCTGAAATACTGAGGGACAAGGTTAAAATCCATTCATAAATTCCCTCCATCTTGATCATGCAAAACATTCAGTTTGTTTAATTTGGGCGGCCAGGAGGATCCACATGTGTCCCCCCACCTGTGACACAGGTCTTGGAATGCCTGGGGTGCAAAGACCATTATTCCAGGTCCAGATTCTGCAGGCTGAGAAGATAAGACCGCCAGTTGTCCATACTAGGTATATTCATGGCTGCCAGAGCTAGAACCTGATGTTCTGTCCAAAACAAGATTCACTCTACCGATTTTGCCACAGCAAGACCACTTGTTCCTTATAGATAATTGATGTATGTTGCTGCTTTGGTATTGAGGAGGTGATATTCCATCAAAGACTAGGTCTCCTGCACAAACCATGCTTCTCAGCTCAACAGGCTTTTGATCATTCTAAGAATCTAAAACACATGGTGGAGTGATTTCCCTGTCCAGAGCAGTATTCTGAAGGCTCCAGGGCAAGGGATAGCCAATCTTTTAGTCTTACCAATCCCTTGTCCTATGATGTCAGAATGTTCCATTGCAGGTTTGTTAAATGTAACTGGCTCCACAGTTAGACCCAATACATTTGTGCAGACTTAGAGGGTTTGATGGCTCATGGACTTGAGCACACAAACCTGAGACTTGAGAGTCTAAAGTTGCTCCTGGGGATGGGAGTTGGGAATAACATGGTCTGCTAAATGCCTGGGACCAGCCACAGATATTTCAAATGATGAATCTGAGTCGTTGACGGGTTGAAGGTTCAGGATCCATGCAATATGTGAATAGCCGGGGACACATTGTCCTTCACAGCCTTGCCGATTCTTCCCTGATGAGGTTTTCTAGGTAGCTTACAATCTGGAGACCTCGAGAGTAAAAAAGGGCCAACAATGAAGATAGTACCTGGTCAAACAAGTGAGGTGTAGCGAAGAGGCTGAAAGGAAGGGCCATGAATTGGTAGTTTGGTAACAGTGAACAAATTTGAGTAAAACCTCTGAAAATATTCTGCAGGAGGGACTAGGAAATGACCAAGAGTCTAGAGTGTGCACCAAGGAGAATATCCAGGGGCTGAGGAGACTTCAAAAAACTGAAGGTAAGAGTGACTAGGGGGAGAGAACAAAACACCACCTCTTGTGCCCAAGTATGGAGTATGCAGGACTTGCAATTTTCTGTGAAGGCCAGTAAATGGGTCCCCTACTTTGGAATGTGGGGGCATGCTATGCAGAGGAAGGCTTGTCTATGAGAATGGTAGACTTGCATTGAAAGGTCTTGAGGGCAGAAAGAGAACCAAACGGTGAGAGGCTCTCAATGTGGAAGTGGAGGGCATATTAAGTGAAAGAGATGCTTCAGAGAAATGGCAAAGAGACTTGCGAATTGGCTACTTCAACTGGGAAAGGTGAGTACTGTTATCCCAGTAGTAACCTAATAATAAAACCCTACATTAACCTGTGAAGTAACGCTTTTTACAAATGAGTTCTGCAACACTTCATCCACAAGTGGACTGTCCGAAGACCAATGCAAGAGACTTCAGCAAGCCATCACAGCTAAATATTAAAACCAAAGACATCTGGCCCATGCAATCGATTTATAGGTCAATGTTGGCGTTGGCCAATCACGCAGAAGGGATTTCACCAATTCATCCGTGGTCGGGCACAAGAGAACTACAGCCAAAAACTTGTGAAAGAGGCAGCCTGCCAGAGGAAACATGGCCCTAGGAAGAGCTTTCACTCTTTGTGGAACCATAAATGAAAGGACATCATCTACAAGAATAGGAAGCACCTTGGTAAGATTCGAGATTGCCAGATCTACAGCCAGAATGGACCACTTAGTGATAGACTCCTAATTAAGAGGATATAGGTTGGCAATGTAGCTAGGGGCAGTGTTGTGGATGACTTTGTAAGCTGTGGTTAGTATTTTGAATTTTTTTGCGTTGGGTTATTGGAAGCCAGTGAAGGGATTGGCAGAGAGGGGCTGCAGTCGCTGATTGGCTGGTAAGGTGGATGAGTCTAGCAGCAGCATTCATAATAGACTGAAGGGGGGATAACCTGTGTGTGTATGTATATGCGTTTGTATATGTATATATACAGTATGTGTATATGGTGTGTGTGTATATGGTGTGTGTGTATATATATGTGTGTGTGTATGTGTGTGTGTGTGTGTGTATATATATATATATATATATAATCTATATCTCTCATGAAATCCTGAAGAAGTCACATGATTTAGCGTGACGTAACACGTAGGTACGTGGGGAGGAACGTCGGTACTCGGTAACGTCACTTCCAGCGTGGGCGCCATCTTGGAGCACCGTATACCCATGCAGTACACCCATAGTGTGTGGTGTAAAGGCGAGTGTTTCATTACAGATATGTGAGTGGGCATTTTTATCTATATATTTGGCTACATTAAAACGGTATTATACTATGGAGGATCTTTTTGTTTCGTTACTGTGGTCCTGTGTGGAGGGTAAAAGGTGTTGCTGATGCCAATGGCTGGAGGAGACCTATAAGGAGAGTACTACCTGTGAGGCTCGTGGTGTGATCCTAAAAGCGAGCTGGCCCTGTGGGGTCACTGTAAGGAGGTGAGGGGGCAATTTGGCCATTTGAGGATTTGCACCTGTGATGTGACCAAGACTACGCAATACCACCTGCATGTTTTTTGAAAATTTGGAGCACGATTTGATTTGTTTTTGGACTGTATTCATTTAAGTATTTATATGGGGGGGTCCTGATTTATGTTTGCGTTCTACTGTGGATTTTTTTCAAGTGTGGTTCACTGATCACATTATAGTAATGTATCCCTGGTTAGGGTTTTGCACTATTTATCTTAAATTAAGTGATCCCTCAAATGTGGGTCGGAGGGGGATTATAGATTTTATTTTTGGTTCACGTGTGTATATAATTATCACTGTGTCGTGTGTATGTATGTGTGTGTGTGTGTGTGTGTGTGTGTGTGTGTGTGTGTGTGTGTGTGTGTATGTATGTATGTATGTATATATATATATATATATATATATATATATATATATATATATGTATGTGTGTGTGTAATAAATAAATATATATATATATATATATATATATAGAAAGAGAGAGATCTATTTATGATCCTTAGACTGTTTGGAGGGAATTAGTTTTTATATAGCGCTGCCACTATTATATACTGTTTTTGGAGATTATATACAGGCAGTCCCCGAGTTAAGTACATTCGGCTTACGTAATACTCATACTTACGTACACTTCCCTCGGGACCGGAAGTCAAGCTGTCAGCATTCTTGTGCAGCAAGCTGATAAGAGACTAGCTGATAAGAGACATCAGAGAGACATAAGAGACAGAGACATCCATTGCTCGTTACTTGTGGGGCTAGCAGTGTCTGCCCACTATCTCCAAAGTGATTTAAGACTGTCTGTCTGCACCTCCGGGGAGAGGAAAGGAGAGGCTGTCAGGCTGCTCACTGAAGTGATCCTCCGTCTGTGCAGGGGGGAGGGGGCAGCGTGTGCTGTGTAAAGGAGAGCAGAGTTCTCTCATACAGTACATTACAGTACAGTGTATTTTTACCCTGCAATAATGCCTCCAAAGCAAAAAGCTGATGCAAGTGCTGGCACAGCAAAGAAAAGAAAAACAATCTCCTTGGAAGATAAAGTAGAAATAATAAAGAGATCAGAGAGTGGTGAAAAATCATCATCCATTTGCAAAGCATATGGTTATGCTCCGTCAACAATTTCAACAATTTTAAAAGATAAGAGTAGAATAATGGAGCATGTAAAATGTAAAACATAAAAGTTAAATATGTTAAGGCAAACATGTGTCCAAGCTGCAGTTCTTATGCAAAACACCAGTTTAGAGCCTCTTGAGGTTTTACTGCTTTCTGTAACCTTATTACAAAAACGTAATCTAATATCCTGTCGTTTGGTTAGTAGTTAGTGCTTATAAAAGTGCCTGATTCAACTTATGAACAAATTCGACTTATGAACAAACCTACAGTCCCTATCTTGTACGTAACCCGGGACTGCCTGTATACAGTTGTGTTCAAAATAATAGAAGTCAGACATCACTAACCGGATCAATCACTGTTTTTGGTAGAGATGATATTTCTACATGGCACATAATTTCCTAGCAGGTGTAGTAGAGTAATAGAAATCCAACAGACCCGACAGTCATGACATGCATGCTGCTGATTCTGTGTCATTGAAAGGGGCGTGTTCACAATAATAGCCGTGTGGAGTTCTATTAGTGAGGTCATTCATTCTTTGATAAACAGGCGGCAATGATTGCCCTTATTTAAGGAAGGAAGGCAGCAAATGTTGGACATGCTGGTTACAGTGCATTTCTCTCTGAAATTCTGAGGAAAATGGGTCGTTCCAGACATTGTTCAGAAGAACAGCGTACCTTGATTAAAAAGTTGATTGGAGAGGGGAAAACATATAAAGAAGTGCAGAAAAATGATCGGCTGCTCAGCTAAAATGATGGCAAATGCTTTAAAATGGCAACCAAAACCTGAAAGACGTGGAAGACAGCGAAAAACTACCATTGGAATTGATAGAAGAATAGCCAAAATGGCGCGGACTCAGCCAACAATCAGCTCCAGGAAGATGAAGGAAGGTGTGACGTTCCCTGTGAGGACTGTTACAATTAGAAGACGCCGATGTGAAGCCAAGCTATCTGCAAGAAGTCCCCGCAAAGTCCCACTGTTGTTAAAAAGACGTGTGCTGAAGAGGTTACAATCTGCCAAAGAGCACATTGACTGGCCTAAAGAGAAATGGCGCAACATTTTGTGGACTGATGGAAGTAAGATTGTTCTTTTTGGGTCTAGTGGGCGGAGACAGTTTGTCAGACGACCCCCAAACACTGAATTCAAGCCACAGTACACTGTGAAGACCGTGAAGCATGGTGGTGCAAGCATCATGATATGGGGATGTTTCTCATACTACGGTGTTGGGCCTATTTATCGCATACCAGGGATCATGGATCAGTTTGAATACATCAGAATACTTGAAGAGGTCGTGCTGCCTTATGCTGAAGAGGAAATGCCCTTGAAATGGGTGTTCCAACAAGACAACGACCCCAAACACACCAGTAAACGTGCAACATCTTGGTTCCAGACCCACAAGATGGACGTTATGGAGTGGCCAGCCCAATCCCCGGATCTTCATCCAATAGAAAACTTGTGGGGTGACATCAAAAATGCCGTTTCTGAGGCAAAACCAAGAAATAGAGAAGAACTGTGGAATGTGGTCCAATCATCCTGGGCTGGAATACCTGATCACAGGGGCCAGAAGTTGGGGGACTCCATGCAACACAGATGTACAGCAGTTCTCAGAAACAGTGCGACTACAACCAAATATTCATGAAGTCATTCAAAGGAAAGCAAAATCTTCAAACATTTCTCAGTTTATATAGTGAATGTTTGAGTTTGTAAAGAAGAATACAAACACGGCCATTTTTTTTTTTTTTTTTTTTTGATCCGTCTAATATTCACTTTTCTTCCATTTTTTTAGAGGAACAACACAAATTTGATATATTTTTCTTCATGTTGTGATTTGGAATAGAATGTGTCGTGTTCCCAATGCATTTGTGTGGATGGAAATAAAAGCTATTAGAAGGATTTTGAGATTCATTCACTTTTTTCAACACACTGATATTATTTTGAACACAGCTGTGTGTGTATGTATATATATATATATCTGTGTGTAAAGCACTGCATAAACTCACAGCACTATATAAGTACCTGTAATACATTTTCTGTCATCCTGATCACATCAGCCGAGCAGCACTGACCTCAAAGTACCCGATCTCGCTTTGCCATCTTTAAAACTACACTTCCCAGAATGCCTCTGTTTGGCTTCTGCCAGCTGATTGGTTGAGTTTCAGGAAGTAACCTTGACTAGAAAGGGTCACCCACATGTGCTCAGCAAATTTGAATGTGTCTCCTCTGTGTGTATCATGTTCTGGAATGGCTGCAGGCTGCTGTCTAAGCTCGGTTTATACTCGGACTGCTGGCACATTGGAGGTGTCCTGACAGCGCGTGTGCAGAGAGCAAAATCTAGCAAGCCGTGTACCAGACAGTGGTAAGAAGCTGCTCGTTACAGTGTGTGTGTGTGTATGTGTGTGTGTGTATATGTGTGTGTGTGTGTGTATATGTGTGTGTGTGTGTGTATATATGTGTGTGTGTGTGTGTGTGTGTGTGTGTTTTGTTCTCAGTTTTATAGAGCCAATCTGCTTCTCAAAGGATTGTGAGGTCTTGGAAACCATGTATTTTTTTTTTTTTTTTAAATGGCAGCTGAGATTGTTCAACTGTTGTGTTTGGGCGAAGTCTTTATACCCAGCTATACAGTAAGTATATGTAGAAATAGGGATACACACCGTGCTGCTACACTATAACACTGCCTTTCAGTATCTTTTTACCCTGGGTGAACCCTCTGAAGTATATTTTATGTTTTTTTGGGGGAACCCCCTGCTAATAAGGATTACACTTGGGCTTACAATGCATCGGCGTAATCGGTACATTGTAAGTAAAACGATCAAGAATGTGAGGTACCCTGACTATCTGAAACCCAAGGCAGATGATTTATTAACCAGTTCCAGTGCTGAGTCCAAGTCTGACATTCCTCCTACATGGATAAACCAGCTTTTTTTTGCCTTTTTTTTTTTTTTGCTAGTAAGCTGCCTACAACTTCCAAATTTTATATACACATATATATAGAGAGAGAGAGAGAGAGATTTTATATATATATATATAGTGAGATATATATATATATGAGAGTGGAGAGATTTTATATATATAGAGAGAGAGAGAGAGAGATATTTTATATATATATATATATATATAGTGAGAGATTTTTATATATATATATATATATATATATATATATATATATATAGTGAGAGATATTTTATATATATATATATATATATATATATATATAGAGTGAGAGATATTTTATATATATATATATATATATATATATAGTGAGAGATATTTTATATATATATATATATATATATATATATATAGTGAGAGATATTTTATATATATATATATAGTGAGAGATATTTTATATATATATATATATATATATGTATAATGAGAGGGAGAGATTTTATATATATAGAGAGAGAGAGAGAGAGATTTTATATATATATATATATATAGAGAGAGAGAGAGAGAGATATAGAGAGAGATATATATATATATATATATATATAGAGAGAGAGAGATTTTTATATATATATATATATACCGTATTTTTCGCTCCATAAGACGCACTTTTTTCCCCCAAAAAAAGGGGAGAAAATGTTAGTGCGTCTTATGGAGCGGCCAGTCCGGTATTTCCACCGCCGCCGTGTCAGAATACCGGGCCGGCCGCTCAGCTCTGCAGCGGGACCTTATGGAGATGACTGCTGACCTTTGGGGAGGGGGGGGGGAGCGGGTACCTGAATTTGACAGGTACCCGCTCTTACTTCCGCGGAGTTGTTCTTTGACCTTACCTGTTCCTCTATCCAGCCGCGCGCTTTCTTCCTGGCTTCTGTAGTGTCGGCGCTGTGCTTGACAGCCGGGTGCCCAGTGCGCATGCGCAAGAAGCGGTGCTTTTTGTGAATGTTAAGGCGGTACCTGGGACACATGACAGATCCCAGAAGCCGCCGGACCAATCACAAAGCGCAAGTGCTTCTCGCTCATGCGCACTGGGCACCCGGCTGTCATGCCGAGCGCCGACACTACAGAAGCCGGGAAGACAGCGCGCCGCTGGATAGAGGAACAGGTAAGATCAAAGAACAACTCCGCGGAAGTAAGAGCGGGTACCTGTCAAATTCAGGTACCCGCTCCCCCCCCCCCCCCCCTTCCCCAAAGGTCAGCAGTCATCTCCTGTGCTGTCCGCAGTCTCTGGTCATCCCTGCGCTGTCCGCAGTCTCTGGTCATCCCTGCGCTGTCCGCAGTCTCTGGTCATCCCTGCGCTGTCCGCAGTCTCTGGTCATCCCTGCGCTGTCCGCAGTCTCTGGTCATCCCTGCGCTGTCCGCAGTCTCTGGTCATCCCTGCGCTGTCCGCAGTCTCTGGTCATCCCTGCGCTGTCCGCAGTCTCTGGTCATCCCTGCGCTGTCCGCAGTCTCTGGTCATCCCTGCGCTGTCCGCAGTCCCTGGTCATCCCTGCGCTGTCCACAGTCTCTGGTCATCCCTGCGCTGTCCGCAGTCTCTGGTCATCCCTGCGCTGTCCGCAGTCTGGTCATCCCTGCGCTGTCCGCAGTCTCTGGTCATCCTGCGCTCTCTGGTCATCGCTGTCCGCAGTCTCTGGTCATCCCTGCGCTGTCCGCAGTCTCTGGTCATCCCTGCGCTGTCCGCAGTCTCTGGTCATCCCTGCGCTGTCCGCAGTCTCTGGTCATCCCTGCCTGTCCGCATCTCTGGTCAGTGCGCTGTCCGCAGTCTCAGGTCATCCCTGCGCTGTCCGCAGTCTTGGTCATTGCGCTGTCCGCAGTCTTTCTGGCTCTAAAACCTAGGTGCAGTCTTGGTCATGGTAGTCTGCAGTCCATTAGTTCAGAATTTTTTTTTTCCTGTTTTCTGGCTGTAAAACCTAGTGCGTCTTATGGATACGGTATGTGTGTGTGTATGTATATATATATATATAGAGAGAGAGAGAGAGATTGATTTTATTTATATATACAGTATTTTCTGGCATATAAGACTACTTTTTATACTTAAAAATATACCCCAAAAATTGGGTGTCGTCTTATACGCGGGGTATAAAATGTGAACCTTGAGTTTGTTTGGGTCAAGCTGGCCGGATGTGTGGTAATACAGTATGCTGAGCCAAGCTGGCTCAAAACAAGTGTCCCTATGACAGATTAATCGGTCAGCCCGCTGGATGTGCGGTATATACAGTATACTGCGCCGAGCCAAGCGCTTTCAAAATGCACCGGTACGTCCCTACTGTAATCAGCCCGCTGGATGTGTGTATGTACGGGAGCTGCGGCTACATACAGTATACACTGGGCCAATCACGGCGAGTGACGTATTCTACTAATGGATACAAAGCCTGCTCGGATTGGCTGAGTCAGAGAGGTGGGCTGATGATGTCGCAATCTCAGCCAATCCGAGCAGGCTTTGTATTCATTAGTAGAATACATCGCTCGCCGTGATTTACCCAGTGTATACTGTATGTAGCCTCAGCTACCGTACATACACACATCCAGTGGGCTGATTACCGTTTTGAAACCGCTTGGCTCAGCGCAGTATACTGTATATATAGTAGATATTTTATTTATATATATATATATATATATATAAAAAAAAAAACTTTGAGAACTGCAAAAGTAAACCAAGCATCTGTGATAATATCTTGTAGGCAGAGAAACTGCCCAATAATCATACAAAAACCTCTGGAAGAGCATGACATTGTGAATGGAATCATGGAATTTATTTACCTAACAAATTAAACATATACAGCCTTATTCTACATAATTAAAAAAATAATCTTTATTTCATGATGGAATAACCTTTGGATGGTAATATATTTTTTTCTCAACAAGCATTTTATTTAAAAAAAATCCGATTTAAATAAAAAAAATCCAATTTTTTTTTTTTTTTTTTTTAATCGATTTTTATATACCCTGATATATATATATATATAGATATATAGAGAGAGAGAGAGAGAGAGTGTTTTTATATAGAGAGGTGTGTGTGCGTGTGTGTGTATGTGCATATATATATATATATATCTATCTAAAATAAAATCTCCTCTCTATCTCGCTATAAAATCTCTCTCTCTCCAAATATCCCAAAGGCCGATAAAAGTAATGGTGCCATGATCACTGTGCGGCATGTGGCCTGTACAGAGAACAAGGCACTCCTGCGCCCTCTCCAGCAGATTGTTCACCTGATTTAGATAAATGAAATAATGCGTCGCGCTAATGTGTACAGAAAATAATATTAAAATATATATATTCTCCAAAACTTAAATGAAAAATTACCAATAAAGTGCACAAAATATGAAGCAAAATTGCCATTAATAAATTTCAAAATTTGTGCCACGCCGCACTTAAAATTACTAAATACAAATAAGTACATCCAAGTCCGTCTATTAATTATACCAGGTGAGGTCAAATATTTGCAAGCAATGCAAAGATGGAAATACAAACATGGATGGAGGATACAAACAGATTTTTCTTTGCTCTCTGCTTTTTCTTTACCCTTCTATAGATACATATTTACAGTGAATTTGTCATGAACCTTATTTCATGTTGTAGGTGGGAAGAAGCCAATCATGAAGATGGCGTCAAGTGGAAATTTCTTGAACATAAAGGCCCATATTTTGCTGTTCCGTATGAACCACTTCCAGAGGACGTCCACTTCTGCTATGATGGTAAGGGCAAGCAATGCCAACCGTTAATGTGACCGTTTAGTAAATGGCGGGAAAGCCAGCAGTACGAATGTATAGAGTGCTGCAAGTATGCTCCCCTCTGGGAGGTTGCATTGTGCCCTTTGCAGGCAATTAAAGAGTTAGAACTGCTAAAATGATTGATATAAATGGCTGGATATTTTTACATTGATAAGTGTCATAATTGGTGACGCCATTTCAGATGGTGATAACCGTAAAAAATCCCAGGTTGATGCATGGTGGTCCAATACAGTCAGACCTATTCCTGGCATCTCTACTGATTGCATTAACCCCCCCGGCGGTATTCCTGAGTGTAGCTCGGGGTAAAGTTTCAGCACCACAAGCGGTAACCCCCCCCCCCCGAGCTACACTCGGGAATACACTGCGGCGTTGCTCTGGGATCTCTTCTTTACTTACCTTGTCCTGCGCTCCCCGCAATGTCCCCCCTGCAGTGTCCCCCGTAATGTCTCCGGCCGATGCCGGCATCTCTCATCTGGGTTCCGTCCCCTGCGAGCGTCGGGATGGAACTGGCGGGAAATTCAAAAATGTGAAAAAGTGACATTCACTAAATCCACTAAAATCACATAATATAACATTCCTGTATCAAACCATTTCACATACATTTTGTCCCGAGTGCTTTGTCCGGCGCCCTGCCTGCATTTTTACTGTTCTTTCTGCCTGGAAACTGAGAAAAGTCCATGGCGTCCAAAAAGCGTCCCTTTAGGTCAGACGCGGTTTTAGACCGGCTAGAGAACAGCGATAGTAAATCAGAACCACTTGCAGAATTGAGTGATAATGATTGGTGGGGGAAATTCCTCATCAGACACTGAAAACGATTCTGCGACTGAGCTCAGCGATGTGCGAACTTGGCGCTCTATTTCACATTTCAGTGTTTTTGGTTTGATTATATTATTGAATTACATTTATTATATTTTTTTATGATTATTTATTAAATTATAATTTATGATTTTCCTGGGATGTTTACTAGACTCTTGTTCGGACAGATTTCAGTGAGTTATTCCTAAAAATTACAGCCTACAATAAAAAAACATGTTTCCATGCAAAAAAATGTACCGCTTTCAGCACAGAAATACTGACATAATCAGACCGATAGGGAGGTTAAAGGGAGGCATCCCCAGCAAGATGTAAAACAAAATGAGATCTCCGTATTACCAAGAGTATAAACCCAAACTGCAGAAAAAGAGAAGTCGGATGTAGAGATGGAGGGGGTCGGGAGACGGGAATGGCAAGAACCAAGGCTGTCCTCTACCAGTATCCCACTGGGGGTGATCCCGCGAGCCGTGGGGCCACACAGGTGGACCTTCTGAAAAGAAAATGAATCGGGACCAAGGCTCAACTCCATCAAGGCACGACAGGAATACATATCACGGAGCGTCGAAGAAGAGGAGGAGGAGAAATGGAGCCAAACCGACCACAGTGGCTTATGTGTATCATAGGTATCATTGGCAAATGCCAGCATTTCCTCCATACGCATGATATCATTAAGCACAGAAACCCACATCGGAAGAGGCGCAAAGGTGAAGTTATCCTTTAAGTATTTTGCGGACATTTCACTAAAGGTTGTCGCATTAAAAAACCAAAAATTTAAAAAATGTCACCCCTGTGTAGCTCCATCGTCAATCACAATGCCCATGGCTACCCCTGCCCTGAAAAGGAGAAAAAAAAAAAAAAAAAGCTCCGCTCTCCACAAAGGCTCCCACCATCTGACAGCTCTGCTGGCCTGATAACCTTTCTTAAATAACTATGGGGCAGGGCCACCTGGTGATGTCAGTGGGTGGCCCCGCCCCTTAGTTATTTAAAGCACTGTATTTTTTTGCGAATGAGAAGCGGTACCATGTACCACATACTTATGCACATGGGGGGGGGGGCTGGGATCTGGGGGCCGCCTTGTTAAAGGGGGCTTCCAGATTTCGATAAACCCCCCCCCCGCCTGCAGGGTTGTGGGGAAGAGGCAAGGTTGTCCCCACAAGGTGCTTTGGGGGCATGTTGAGGGTATGTGGCCTGGTATGGTTCAGGAATGGGGGGGCGCTTGCTTGCCTCGTTCTTCCTCCCCCCAGGCTGTATGCTCAGATGAAGGTCTGACATGGATTTTTTTTAATTTTGGCTCGGGAGTTCCTGCTCAAAATCCATACCAGACAGTAAGGACTGTGGGGGGTACCCTGGCTGTTTTTTTTTTTTTTGTTTGTTTTGTTTTTTTTTTTTTTTTTTTTGCTTCATTTTTAAGTGCCAGCTTTTTTTTGTGTTTTGGTTTTTTTTTTGTTTTTTTTTACATTCAGCTGTCAGTGGGGAACCCTGCTGGCAGCTGATACATTATTGCACATTTCCACTTCTAAAATACCGCATGCCTTAATAAAATACCTCGTATTTCAGTAGCGTTTTTTGTGAATACCGTTTTTTTTTTTTTTTTTTTTTTAATTCTGTGCGGTATCTTACCGCATACTCGGATGCGGTAAGATACCGCTTAGTGAATTGTTCCCTCTGTTTGCTTATTGTTTCTTATTCCAGTTTTTATACACTATATTGCCAAACGTTTGTGGACACCCCTCAAAATGATTTTCAGGTTTCTCCAGTGATGAGTACTGTGGGTGCAACAACATACAAACACATTTTTGACAAATTTACACTTTCCACCGCATGACAATAATTTGGGGAAGGACCTTTTCCATTCCATATTAACTGCGCCGGTGTGTACAAAGCCGGCTCCATAAAGATATGATTTGACTAGTTTGGTGTGGAGGAACTCTGGTGATCTGCACAGTACCGTGACCCTCAACCCCTTTGAGTACCTTTGGGATGAATTGAAATACAAATTGCTAAACATCACTTACTGAAGTAACAAATACTCTTTTGGCTGAATGGGCACAAATTCCTACAGATTCTCCAAAATCTAATGGAATGCCTTCCCAGAAAAGTGAAGGCTGTAACAACCAACGTGGTGGCTAACCCTATAATTAATGGTCATGTGTAACGGAACTGGACCCCGACTGCACCAGGGTATTTCCGTTACTCTCCCGCTTGCCTGTCCAAACACCGTCCATGGACCCCACCGCTGACCATACAAGACTAGACAACACCAGCCTTGTATTAAACCAGGAAATAGACGCCTTTATTTTAACCTCAAACAGGCTTTTTATACAATACACACTGAGACTGATCACATGATCATACAATACACACTGAGACTGATCACATGATCATACAATACACACTGAGACTGATCACATGATCATACAATACACACTGAGACTGATCACATGATCATACAATACACACTGAGACTGATCACATGATCATACAATACACACTGAGACTGATCACATGATCATCATATGCAAAGGCAGCTATATACAGAAATAGACTTAACACTCTAAACAGTAAGTAATTAGGTTAGCTAGCTGGGTGATCAAAACAAAAGGTGAATGGGAATTCACACCTAGACAATGGTTGGATGAATTAGGATCTCACTAAAGAGCAGACAGTCCCGCTCCTTCAATTCGCAGTCTAGTTCAGAATCAACAACCAGGAATTATTATTATTATATAGTATTTATAAAGCGCCAATAGTTCGCTCAGCGCTGTACATTACAAAGGGGGACAGAACATGTGACAGAACAATACCAATACAATGCAATACATGAGGGGATCGAGGGCCCTGCTCCTTGGAGCTTACAATCTAGGAGGGAGGGGATGGTGGCACAGGAGGAGATAGCTGTGGGGGATGGAGTGGTAGGAAGAGTGGAGGAGGTCGGTAGGTTAGCAGGGGGTGGGGTAGGCTTCCCTGAAGAGGTGGGTTTTCAGGGTGCGCCTAAAGGAGAGGAGAGTAGGTGATAATCTGATGGGTTGGGGCAGGGAGTTCCAGAGGATGGGTGACACCCTGGAGAAGTCCTGGAGGCGGGCATGGGAGGAGGAGACCAGGGAACTAGAGAGAAGGAGGTCTTGTGAGGAGCGGAGTGTGCGTGTTGGGTGGTACTTGGATATTAGGTCAGTGATGTAGTTCAGGGCAGTATGGTGGACGGCTTTGTACGTCAGTGTTAGGATTTTGAATTTGATCCGTTGCGCAATCGGAAGCCAGTGGAGGGATTGGCAGAGGAGGGTGGAGGACACTGAGTGGAGGCCAGTGGAGGGATTGGCAGAGGGGGGTGGAGGTCAGTGGAGGGATTGGCAGAGGGGGGTGGAGGACACTGAATGGAGGCCAGTGGAGGGATTGGCAGAGGGGGGTGGCGGAGATGGAGCGGTTGGAAAGGTGAATGAGCTGGCAGCCGTATTCAGGATGGACTGAAGCGGGGATAGCCAGCGGCGAGGCAGGCCAGTGAGGAGGGAGTTGCAGTAGTCGAGTCGTGATATGATGAGGGAGTGGATGAGCTGTTTAGTGGTTTCTGGGGTTAGGAACGTGCGGATTTTGGTGATGTTGCGGAGGTGGAGTCTGCATGTTGCGGAGGTGGAGTCTGCACGAGTTTGTTAAAGATTGGACTTGGGGCTGGAAGGATAGGTTGGAGTCCAGAATGACACCAAGTACCCTGGCCTGCGGGGCGGGTTTGATGGTGGCGTTGTTGGATGTGATGGAGAAGTCAATGGGGGGTGGGGTCCGGGCTGGGGGGAAGACAAGAAACTCGGTTTTGGAGAGATTCAGTTTAAGGAAGTGGAGCGACATCCAGTCTATGTGAGCTTCATATAGCTGATAAATATTACTGTCACATCTGAAGTCATTCCAACCGCATTCTCAGCGTCCATTAGTCACCCTGTACCCCTAAGAGACACAGGGTGACTTGCACATAAGAGGGATATGGGGAGCTGAGACACCTCTCCCAACGTGAGCTGTGTTCCATGGGCCCCCCACCCAAAGTGACTCCCGTCACACCATGGTTTTGGAATTTGATATCTGACAAGCTTGCACAAGTACGATGGGCAGATGTCCACAAACCTTTGACCATATAGTGGTTATACAGGTAGCAAACCTAGAACTGCATCATATTAGATGCTAATAAATACACAGGGGTCAGGGTGGAAATCCAGGTGCTGTATAACAAACATAGCCTGCAACTGCTCTTATCTGGTCATTCCGATCGTTTAGCCTTTTCAATGTATTTTAGGAGAACCGATGAAGCTTAGTTTGGCGGCTGAGGAAGTAGCCACTTTCTATGGCAAAATGCTGGATCATGAATACACCACCAAAGAGGCATTCCAGAAGAATTTCTTTGGGGACTGGAGGGCGGTAAGTACCACATAGAAGATGACTGAGCTTATCTTTTTTTTTTTTTTTTTTTTACCCCAGAATGTTCATTGGGGACACAGCAGACCATTGCCCAAATCACCCAGTTATTTGAGTAATTGCAGAGGTCACTAGCATGCGTCTGCACCCTCTACTGATTTGCCTGTGGCCTTAGAGCAGTGGTTCTCAACCTTCCTAATGCCGCGACCCTTTAATACAGTTCCTCATGTTGTGGTGACCCCCCAACCATAAAACTATTTTCAGTGCTACTTCATAACTGTAATTTTGCTACTATTATGAATCGTAATGTAAATATCTGATATGCGGTTTCTCCATTCCTGCTGTAATTACTGAGGTAAAACCATACTGTAAAAAGTCCTCGCTATATTTTCTTTTCTTAACCTTCTTCTCTATACGATCCATGGCCCTCACACAGGGGTACACTGAGGAACCCCCCTATAAATGAGGCCTTCGTACACATAGGACAGGTATTCCCAACACACCCACTGAGACCTTCCCTGGGACTGGACTAGCACTAGAAACCCCCAGCTACACACAGGAGGAGGAGTCTGGTTGGTCAAGTTCTAGTTTAATCCCGATAAGCCCCGCCCCGCATTTAGAACTGGGGATGATGTCACCGCTCAGTGATGATTGGGGGAGCAGTGCAGACAATGGGCGGGGCGGATGTTGCGGGAGATGATAGGCTGGGCCAGAGGGGTCAGGTGTCATCACTGACCTCTTTCTCGTATGGTCAAACCCGCCTGGAGACGGATAGAGGAGCGTTGTCTCGGTTCCTAAGACCATCGGAAATATGCGTTTTCCGATGGTCTTAGGCGACCCCTGGGAAAGGGTCGTTTGACCCCCAAAGGGGTCGCGACCCACAGGTTGAGAACCGCTGCCTTAGAGACTTTTGTGCTATCATCCATAGATTGAGTCACTCCAATGTTTGAGGAGTTTATCCATTATGAGGGCAGAACAGCGGCTAAATGGTTAGCATTTCTGCCTGGCAGTACTAGGGTCGTTGGTTCGAATCCCAACCATGGCACCACCTGCCTGGAGTTTGCATGATCTCCCTGTGCTTGCGTGGGTTTCCTCCGGGTACTCCGGTTTCCTTACACACTTCAAAGACATGCTGGTAGGTTCATTGGCTCCTATCTAAATTGTCCCTAGTATGTGTATGTATGAATGTGAGTTAGGGACCTTAGATTGTACGCCCCTTGAGGGTTAGGGACCTTAGATTGTACGCCCCTCGAGGGTTAGGGACCTTAGATTGTATGCCCCTTGAGGGTTAGGGACCTTAGATTGTACGCCCCTCGAGGGTTAGGGAGTGATGTGAATGTACAATATATATGTAAAGTGCTGCGGAAATTGACAGCACTATATAAGTACCTGAAATAAATAAATTAGTCCATCTGCTGTAATCACTCCCAAAGTAAAGACCATTTCAGTCCTTGCAGACTACACCACTCTGAAACTAGCGAATCGGCCTCTTGCTTTTACCCATGCTTACTTTAGCCTCGTAAAAGCTGCTAAGAGTATTTATTTCAGGTACTTATATAGTGCTGTCAATTTACGCAGCACTTTACATATATATTGTACATTCACATCAGTCCCTAACCCTCAAGGGGCGTACAATCTAAGGTCTCTAACTCACATTCATACATACACATACAGGGGACAATTTAGGGTCCCTGATGAAGTCACGTGTGCCGTGACGCAACGCGTAGGTGACGTGGTGACGCAATAGTTTTATATAATTTTATATGCGTTATGATATTCATATATTAATATTTAATCATTCTTGAGCGCTACACCATTTATTTATGATTTAGTAAAACTCTACTGAACCCTCTCTGGTCTTCTGGATCAAGGTGTTGTCATCCAGTTCCTGTGGCAGAACGGTTTCTGAGGTGGTACCCCAGCCTGTTTACTGTTCCCAAAATTAAAGGGGACATGCCTTCATTCTGAGCCAGACACCCTACATAGAATCAGCCAAGTCTTCTACTTCCTCTCTTCACTGGGTAGACTTTCTGGCTTCTGTGGACATCAAGGATGCTTCAAGCTCATTGTTTGATTTACTTGATTATTGTCCTGGACACAGCTGAGATCAGAGTGTTTGTTTCTTTCACAGGGAAACTTCTGACTCTCTGGTCTCTGATTCAGACTTACCAGTCCAGGAGTGAACCAGCTTTCCACTTTGGCATTAGTCTTGTGCCTGATGGTAGCTTCTTTCATGGCAGTTCCATTTGCACAATTCCTTGCCAGGCCTCTCTAACTCAACATTTTCCCAAGACAAATCGATTTGGTCTCTGGACAGAATCATTTATCACCAAGGACCAGGTTGGTCTGGCTTGGTAGTGCAAGAATCTTGTTCAGGAACTAGAAGTGTATTTGTTTTTGTCTTTGGAGGACTTATGGTGAAGGCCAGGAAGGCATCCTGAGTACCCAGTGGGTGATTTGGGTCTGCGGAAGTCTCTGAAAATGCCACAGTTGTGTACATCAGTCATTGGGGAGGAACCAGATGTCTCTCTGCAGAGGTAGATAGGATCCTGTTAATGGCAAAACTTCAAGTTCCAGCTTTGTTCACTGTGTTGATGCCATGTGTAGACAGGCAGAATTCTTCAGCCAGCATCATTTGAATCTGAGGTGTATTGTTCTCTACAGCAGCTGGTATGGGATGCTGTATGTGGACTTTCTGTCCCCCAGGGTCAATGGGAGGAATAGTGCCCCATCATTGGTGTCAGTGGGAGGAATAGTGCCCCATCATTGGTATCAGTGGGGGGAATAGTGCCCCATCATTGGTGTCAGTGGCAGGAATAGTGCCCCATCATTGGTGTCAGTGGGAGGAATAGTGTCCCATCATTGGTGTCAATGGGAGGAATAGTGCCCCATCATTGGTGTCAGTGGCAGGAATAGTGCCCCATCATTGGTGTCAGTGGGAGGAATAGTGTCCCATCATTGGTGTCAGTGGGAGGAATAGTGCCCCATCATTGGTGTCAGTGGGAGGAATAGTGCTCCATCATTGGTATCAGTGGGAGGAATAGTGCCCCATCATTGGTGTCAGTGGGAGGAATAGTGCCCCATCTTTGGTGTCAGGGGGAGGAATAGTACCCCATCGTTAGTGTCAGTGGGAGGAATAGTACCCTATCATTGGTGTCAGTGGGAGGAATAGTTTCCCCATCTTTGGTGTCAGTGGAAGGAATAGTGCCCCATCTTTGGTGTCAGTGGGAGGAATAGTTCCCCATCTTTGTGTCAGTGGAAGGAATAGTGCCCCATCTTTGGTGTCAGTGGGAGGAATAGTGCCCCATCATTGGTGTCAGTGGGAGGAATAGTGCCCCATCATTGGTGTCAGTGGGAGGAATAGTGCCCCATCTTTGGTGCCAGGGAGAGGAATAGTGCCCCATCATTGGTATCAGTGGGAGGAATAAGTGTCCCATCATTGGTGCCAGTGGGAGGAATAGTGCCCCATCTTTGGTGCCAGGGAGAGGAATAGTGCCCCATCATTGGTGTCAGTGGGAGGAATAGTGCCCCATCATTGGGCCAGGAAGGAATAGTGCCCCATCATTGGTGTCATTGGGAGGAATAGTGCCCCATCATTGGTATCAGTGGGAGGAATAGTGCCCCATCATCGGTGTCAGTGGGAGGAATAGTGCCCCATCATTGGTGTCAGTGGGAGGAATAGTGTCCCATCATTGGTGTCAGTGGGAAGAATAGTGCCCCATCATTGGTGCCAGTGGGAGGAATAGTGCCCCATCATTGGTGTCAGTGGGAGGAATAGTGCCCCATCTTTGGTGCCAGGGAGAGGAATAGTACCCCATTTTTGGTGTCAGTGGGAGGAATAGTGCCCCATCTTTGGTGTCAGTGGGAGGAATTGCTCCAAGGGCTAGATAAAAGTAAGCAAAGGGCCACAGTTTGGAGACCACTGCACTAGCTGACCCTTCTCTACCAGTTTGATGGTCAGAGTCCCTCAACCCACTTGCTATGTTCAGGCTATGCTGAACTGTCCCCTTCCCCCATGAAGGGATATCACAGTAATACTGGACTCAGATAATAAAAGGCATGCAATTCAGTGCAGGAGTAAGGACCTCCCACGCCACAGTAAGGACCTCCCACGCCAGAGGAGGATAGGAAGGACCCCCATGATGTGACCAGCTAGATGACTGCTGGATTGAAAGTATACATAATTACATCTGCATCTCACCAGCATTTGATGTTCACCTTCTTTAAAGGAAATGACAAAAGAGGAGAGGAAGATCATTAAGCATTTGGATAAGTGTGACTTCACGGAGATCCACAAGTATTTCTTCGATCGGAACGAGGAAAGGAAAGCCTTGCCCAAGGCGGAGAAACAGGTGAGATGTGAAGGGAGGTCGGTTTCAGTGGCACAGTACAGGACACAGGCAGAGTATCCATAGACCCTGGGTTATAGGCCGGTACCTTTAGGTGTTACTTGCATAGGTTTTGAGGGCACACCACCTGGGTATCCCCCCTATAACTTTACTCCCCTCCAAGAGTCCTCTTTTTTTTTTTTTTTTTTTTTTTTTTTTTGCTAGTGTCCTAAGGTGATGGACCTTTTACCCCTTATGGAGAAATTGCTCTTAACTAATTTATTATTTTACTTTGGATTCTTCAACTCTTCACTGTCTTCTAATACAGCAATCAGGACTGGTACAAGCGTAGTAAAACCTTGGAAGCCATACTCAGACCTGATGCCATAGGATGGCCAGTAATGTTACTTCAATCACTGGATTCTGTGTGGGCGTTCACCTCTGGGGGTGGGTGGAGTCTGTTACAGTTTACAGCCAAATCTGACGCATTCTGCGCAAGACCCCAAAAATGGACTGGACAAAATTATTGGCAAGAATTATTAGTTATTGGTAACAAATAATTGCTTTCCAATGTTGTGATGCTCATGTAACTTGTAATTAACCCCTTCATACCTGAGGGTGAAACAAATCTTAATGTCTAAGCACAATTTTGCAGCATTGACGTTTTTTTTTTTTCCAGGACAAATTGGGATTTCATTTGGGGGTAAATGGTAATGGATACATCCCTGATTTATTTATTTATTTATTTATTTTTTATTTTTTAATCAAAGAAAAACTGGCCCAAAATAGTAAAAAAAAAAAAAATCATTTTTTTAAATTTAGCTGTGTTTCTCTTGTTACTACCATAACCTACCACCAAAGAACAAGTCAAAATACATTTTCCAGCTATTGATCACAGCGATACAATATATGTGTATATTATTTGTTGTTTGTACCCGTAGTAAATAGATGTCTCCTGATTTATTTATTTTTTTTTTTTTTTTTTTAATCCAAAGAAAACTGGCCCAAAATAGTGAAAAAAATATTTTTTTTTTAAATTTCCCTGTTTCTTGTTTCTACCATAACCTACCACCAAAAAGAACAAGCCAAAATAAATTTTCCAGCTCTTGATGATCGCAGCGATATGATATATGTGGATGTTATTTGTTGTTTGTACCCGGAGTACAGCCCAGATCAATAGTGCGCATTTTGTTTACCTAAAACACACTGACACTGATACCAATTTAAAAAAATAATAATAATCCTGACCTTTGACCCTGACCCAAACACTTTCCCTGGCACTGAACTAGATCAAACCTTGATCTAGGTATTTTTCTCTATTTTTTATTGTTTAATATTTATTTCTCTTTGTAAAAAAAAAAAAAAGTAATAAATAAAAATTTCTTTTTCCTCTATGCTAGAAGTTAGAGATACAATGTATCTCTCTCCTCCATTCATAGAGAGAAAAAAAATGAAACAAGGGGGCTGGGCTGTAGAGTGACTGATCACTGTGATAGCCAATCAGAGACTATCACAACGATCATGTGACCCGGAATCGGGAGTCCCAATCATTAGAATGGGACTCGGGGCTCTCAGTAACACCCCGGTCTTTGTGCCGGGAGCGAGCTTCCAGCAGGAAGACAGACACGCAAATATGGGACCCCACGGAAAAAAGCCCAGTTCTGTGACGTCGCATATTTGTGTGACGTTGGCATCAAGGGGTTAAACTCACATGCCAGGCGCTGACAATATAGAAATCACACCGGCACCCAGTTAAATTGGTGAAAAATGGATGAAACTTTTCTGTTGTGTGTCTGTGTGCCACTTGGAGCATGGAGAAGAGAAAGAGAGCAGCAAAGAATTGTCTGAGGATTGGAGAACAGAAATTGTGGAAAAGCACGGACAATCTGAAGGTTACAAGTCCATCTCCAGAGATCTTAATGTTCCTGTGTTCACTGTGCACTTCATTGTAAAGTTTACAGCCCTTGGCACTATAGCTAATCTCTCCTAGATACAGAAAAATTGATCAAAGATTGCAGTAAAGGATTGTTGGAATGGTGGATAAAGAACCTCTTTAACTTCCAGACAAATCCAAGCTGACCTTCAGGCAGAGAGTACACCTGTGTCCGCTCGCACTCTACGTAGCCATCTGAATGAAAAGGGATGCTATTGTAGGAGACCCAGGAGGACCCCACACAGAAATATGGTAGGAGACCCAGGAGGACCCCACTGCTGACACAAAATATGGTAGGAGACCCAGGAGGACCCCACTGCTGACACAGAAATACAGGAGACCCAGGAGGACCCCACTGCTGACACAGAAATATGGTAGGAGACCCAGGAGGACCCCACTGCTGACACAGAAATATGGTAGGAGACCCAGGAGGACCCCACTGCTGACACAGAAATATGGTAGGAGACCCAGGAGGACCCCACTGCTGACACAGAAATATGGTAGGAGACCCAGGAGGACCCCACTGCTGACATAGAAACATATCGGAAGCCAGATTGGAGTTTGCCAAAATTTACCTGAGGAAGCCAAAATCCTTTTGGCAGAATGTGCTGGGGACAGATGAAACAAAATTACACCTTTTGGGTAAAGCCCATCATTCTACTGTTTTCAGAAAAAGCAATGAGGCCTTTAAAGAAAAGACTCCAGTCCCTCCAGTCACACATAGTGGGGGGTCACTGATGGTTTGGGGTTGCTTTGCTGCTTCAGGCACTGGATGTCTTGACCGTGTGCATGGCATTATGAAATCTGAAGGCTACCAAAGAATTCTGGGGTGCAATGTAGGGCCCAGTGTCAAACAGTTGGGTCTCCAATGTCAGAAGTCATGGGTCTTCCAGCAGGACAATGACTCAAAGCGCACATCAAAAAGCCCCCAGAAATGGTTTCAGACAAAGTGCTGGAGAGGACTGAACTGGCCAACAATGAGCCCAGATCTCCATCCCATAGAGCTCCTGTGGAGAGATCTCAGAACATCAGTTGGGGAAAGGAACCCTTCCAATCTGAGAGACCCGGAGCAGTTGGAGGAAGAAGAGCGATCCAAAATTCCAGTAGAGAGGTGGAGGAAACTCATTGATGGTGACAGGAAGCCATTGATTTCAGGTATTTTTTTCCAAGGGGTATGCGACCAAATATTGCATTGAGGGTGCCAATTATTCTGTCCAGTCCATTTTTTTGGAGGTTTTGCGTGGAATGTGTCAGATTTGGCTTTTTGTTTCTCCACTTTTATTATATAAATATAAACTCGAGAATGCTGAAACATTTGTGATTGAAACAATTTTCTGGGTTAAGTAGTGCGTTATCTGCCAGAAATGCAGGGTTCAAGATTTTTGTCCACAACTGTGTATGTGCTTACCGCTCCTTTTATTAGGTTCACCTGTTCAATTGCTTGGTAACACAAATTGCTAATCAGCCAACCACATGGCAGCAACTAAATGCATTTTGGCATCTAGACGTGGTGAAGACGACTTGCTGAAACTCAAACTGAGCACCAGAATGAGGAAGAAAGGGGATTTAAGTGACTTTGAACTTGGCATGGTTGTTGCTGCCAGTATTTAAAAACTGCTGATCTACTGGGATTTTCATACACACAACCATCTCTAGGGTTTACAGCAGTGGTTCTCAACCTTCCTAATGCCGTGACCCTTTAATACAGTTCCTCATATTGTGGTGACCCCCAACTATAAAATTATTTACCCAGTAATTCTAATTCATGAGTGTCGTTTTACCTCCAATACTGCTGCTTTCAACACAGCAGCTGCTTTCTACACAGTAGCTGCTCTTTACACATCGGAAATGTGTTTTCTGATGGTCTTAGGGGACCCCTGTGAAAGGGTCGTTCGACCCCCAAAGGGGTCGCGACCCACAGGTTGAGAACCACTGGTTTACAGAGAATGGTCCTAAAAAGAGAAAATATCCAGCGAGAGGCAGCTGTGTGGAAGAAAATGCCTTGATGATGTCAGAAGAGAATGGGATGAGTGGTTGCTGTGACATTCAGATGGTAGGGTCATGGTGTGGTGGATCCATCCTGCCTTGTATCAACGGTTCAGGATGGTGGTGTCATGGTGTGGTGGATCCATCCTGCCTTGTATCAATGGTTCAGGATGGTGGTGTCATGGTGTGGTGGATCCATCCTGCCTTGTATCAACGGTTCAGGATGGTGGTGTCATGGTGTGGTGGATCCATCCTGCCTTGTATCAATGTTCAGGGTGGTGGTGGTGTCATGGTGTGGTGGATCCATCCTGTCTTGTATCAATGGTTCAGGCTGGTGGTGGTGGTGTCATGGTGTGGTGGATCCATCCTGCCTTTTATCAATGGTTCAAGCTGGTGGTGTCATGGTGTGGTGGATCCATCCTGCCTTGTATCAATGGTTCAGGCTGGTGGTGGTGGGTGTCATGGTGGTGTCATGGTGGGGGGAGGTTTTCTTAGCAACTAGCAAGGTGTACCTAATAAAGTAGCCGGTGAGTGTATGTGTATATTTAAAATGTTCTTTGTACAGTATATGAAATGGGTAAACATTTTTTATTTGTGTAGGAATAGAACATTATGTAGCTGTGGCAGTGACTTTTTTTTTTTTTTGCACATTAGAAATTAAAGGAGGAGGCCAGTAAGCTTCAAGAGGAGTACGGTTACTGCATACTGGACGGGCATCGGGAAAAAATTGGCAACTTTAAAACTGAACCACCAGGTCTGTTCCGTGGCCGCGGTGACCACCCAAAAATGGGAATGTTAAAAATGAGAATAAGGCCAGAAGACGTCATTATAAACTGCAGCAAGTGAGTGAGCGCTACCGTATTCTGCTCCTTACCATAGTCCAGTCCCTTCCCGTATTCTGCTCCTTACCATAGTCCAGTCCCTTCCCGTATTCTGCTCCTTACCATAGTCCAGTCCCTTCCCGTATTCTGCTCCTTACCATAGTCCAGTCCCTTCCCGTATTCTGCTCCTTACCATAGTCCAGTCCCTTCCCGTATTCTGTTCCTTACCATAGTCCAGTCCCTTCCCGTATTCGCTCCTTACCATAGTCCAGTCCCTTCCCGTATTCTGCTCCTTACCATAGTCCAGTCCCTTCCCGTATTCTGCTCCTTACCATAGTCCCAGTCCCTTCCCGTATTCTGCTCCTTACCATAGTCCAGTCCCTTCCCGTATTCTGCTCCTTACCATAGCCCAGTCCCTTCCCGTATTCTGCTCCTTACCATAGCCCAGTCCCTTCCCGTATTCTGCTCCTTACCATAGCCCAGTCCCTTCCCGTATTCTGCTCCTTACCATAGCCCAGTCCCTTCCCGTATTCTGCTCCTTACCATAGTCCAGTCCCTTCCCGTATTCTGCTCCTTACCATAGTCCAGTCCCTTTCCCGTATTCTGCTCCTTACCATAGTCCCAGTCCCTTCCCGTATTCTGCCCCTTACCATAGTCCAGTCCCTTCCCGTATTCTGCTCCTTACCATAGTCCAGTCCCTTCCCGTATTCTGCCCCTTACCATAGCCCAGTCCCTTCCCGTATTCCAGTCCCTTACCATAGCCCAGTCCCTTCCCATACGCCAGTCCTTACCATAGGCCAGTCCCTTCCCGTATTCTGTCCCTTACCATAGTCCAGTCCCTTCCCGTATTCCAGCCCCTTACCATAGTCCAGTCCCTTCCCGTAGGCCAGCCCTTCCATAGGCCAGTCCCTTCCCATAGGCCAGTCCCTTCCCATAGGCCAGTCCCTTCCCATAGGCCAGTCCCTTCCCATAGGCCAGTCCCTTCCCATAGGCCAGTCCCTTCCCATAGGCCAGTCCCTTCCCATAGGCCAGTCCCTTCCCATAGGCCAGTCCCTTCCCATAGGCCAGTCCCTTCCCATAGGCCAGTCCCTTCCCATAGGCCAGTCCCTTCCCATAGGCCAGTCCCTTCCCATAGGCCAGTCCCTTCCCATAGGCCAGTCCCTTCCCATAGGCCAGTCCCATCCCATAGGCCAGTCCCTTCCCATACTCCAGTCCCTTCCCATATGGCATTTGAATCTATGCAGCTCAGCAATGCCAACTCCACGAAGGGAGACCATCACCTGCCATGTGCGAATAGTTTTTTTTTTTTTTCTCGATGCAGCAAAAAAAAAAAAATAGAATTTTAAAAATGTTTTTGGTTTTAAGTTTCTCGCTTTCACTATTACACAGGTAGAGAATGTAGAAAGTTTTGTCAGTGTTCTCTTTTAATAGCCTTTTTCATGTATAAGCTTTGAGAGCTTTAAAGCTTCTTTTAGACTCTCACATAAACAGATACACATTTTTGCTTCAAATTAAATTCTCTAATTGTCTCTGTATTATTAACCGCCTCCCGCCCGCTATACAAGGAAATGATGGGCGCAAGGCGGTTCTCTTGTTCTGGGAGGATGTCACATGACGTTCTCTCACTCTAACCACGCGTGTGCGCCCCCTGGGGCTCACAGCATGGCGATTGGTCGTGCGCTGGGACACAGAAGATCACCGATCAGCGGAAAGAGCCGATGACGGCTCTGTCATGTGATCAGCTGTGTCCAATCACAGCTGATCACATGTAAATAAGGAAATGCCGGCTATCGGCATTCCTCTCCTCCCAAACTGTCACGCTGACAGTCGAGAGGAGAGCCGGAAATCTGCCTTCTTCAGAGGGGACATCTACACTGATCATCAGGGCACTGATGATCAGTGTAGCCCTATCAGTGCCACCTGTCAGTGTCCATCAATGCCACGTAGCAGTGCACAAAAATACCACATATCAGTGCCCATCTGAGCTGCCTTTTAGTGCCGCCTAACAGTTCCAGTCAGTGCTGCCTAACAGTACCAGTCAGTGCTAGCTATCAGTGCCATATGAGTACTGCCTTTCAGTGCCAATCAGTGATGCCTGTCAATGACAATCAGTGCAGCCTCATTAGCGCACATCAGTGAAGGAGAAAAATTACTCATTTACAAAATTTTATAACCAAAGCTAAAACTTTTTTTTCCAAATTTTCAGTTTTTGGTTTGTTTAGCAAAAAGTAAAAAACTCCGAGGTGATTAAATACCACGAAAAGAAAGCACAAAAAATGATAAAAATTTCATATGGGTACAGTGTGAAAGCTGAAAATTGTCCTAGGCAGGAAGTGGGTGGAAGTGTCCTGTAGGAAAAAAAAAAAAAAAAGTTTCTGGTCAGAAGTATGAAGATCCTCCCTCTAAACTATTGCATTTTGGTGTTCCCGTACTGTTATTACATCTGCAGCCAAAGTAACATTGTAGAAAATGATGCTCTTCCAAACTTGTAGTAACCGTTTGGTGAGGACTGTTTCCTGTTCCACCATGACTGTGCCCCGGGTACAAAGCCAAGTCCATAGTTTGACCAATTTGGTGTGGAGTAGGGATGTACTGATACCCTCCTTCCTTTTTTTTTTTTTTTTCCCTTATCGGCGAGTATGAGTAACAATACTTTGCAAAATGTATGGAAGCAAATTGCACCGCAAAGAATAGCATGCGATTCCTGTCCAAATCGCATGCGGTCTCCCCACTGCTCCTGTGTGAACCTGGGCTTGTCATAGCCTGAGTTCACACGGGAGCGGTGCAGGGAGGCTTCCCACAGTGTAGAAGAGGAGAGAGAAAGCGGGGGGGGGGGGGGGGGGAGAGATTTTAAATCCCCCGCCACTTCTTGCAGGGATGACAGTTCGGGCTGGAGGGATTTTGAATGGTCAGCACTGTCACATGGATGGCGCTGATCAGTCAAAAGCCCTCCAGCCCTAACTGTGATCCCTACAAGGTGAGGAGAGAAACCGACAGGGATTTCAAATTCTACTGCTGAGAATATGGCGCATCTGCCACCATGGTATACATGGTATATCCTGCACATGCCCACTCTCCTGTCAGCATGGGATCTCTTCAGGGATGTTCCCCACACCGGCGTTGGAGCCAGCACTGCAAAGGAGACAAAAACGTATGCGTTTCTTGCTCCCTACTACAGCTCCAACTTTACAAGCAGTTCCTTCACTGGAATGGATCATACTTGACTGGTACTACACCCACCAACCAAGACAGGGCGTTGGAGTCAGCACTGCAAAGGAGACATCAGCTTATGCGTTTCTTGTTCCCTACTACAGCTCCAACTTTACAAGCAGTTCCTTCACTGGAATGGGTCATACTTGACTGGTACTACACCCACCAACCATGACAAGGAGTTGGAGCCAGCACTGCAAAGGAGACATCAGCTTATGTGGCTCTTGTTCCCCACTACAGCTCCAACTTTACAAGTAGTTCCTCTGCAATGCACTCTGATGCTCTGGGATGGTGTGTCAGCCACCCCAAGATCTACTGGTTGCTGACCTCCGCTATGGTCTGTATCTGCTACCCCACCAGTTAGTTTTTTTTTTTTACGGTTTCCAGAGATAGAGGTATAATTATTACTTAGATTGTAAGCTCCCAGGATCAGGGCCCTCCTATCCCTCTTGTATTGAACTGTATTGTTGCTGTATTGTCTCCCGTTATATTGTAAAGTGCTGAGCAAACTGTTGGCGCCATAAATCCTGTATAATACTAATCCAATGGTGAAATCATTTTCTTCCCAGAGACTCGACGATTCCTGAGCCCCCTCCTGGCCACAAGTGGAAGGAAGTGCGCTTTGATAACACCGTCACCTGGCTGGCGTCATGGACTGAAAATATTCAAAGTGCCATCAAGTACATCATGCTGAACCCAAGCTCAAAACTCAAGGTGGGGAAAAGCAGTCAGTAACGCCCTGGTCTAGATTGGTACACATTAGTTCTAAGAGTCTACCATACAGCTAAAAAACAACCCAATGGAGCATGGATAACATTTACAGTAGCTCAGCTCACCCAACTGCATGTCCTGGAGCCAGAACTACACATGTGCTTATGTCACCCTTGTACAAAAAAAGAACCCATCCACCCCCGTATTCTCTGAAATAACTTGAAACTAACCAAAATAATTGGCGTCTATCACTGTTTATTTCATATTTACCTACTTGGAATTTTGTGGTCAGGTCCTGGCCAATGCTTGGTGCCTGAGACCGGCTGATTGGCTTTCCAGACACACAGGACTCTGTATACAGAGCAGCGATCTGGCTGTTTATTCTCCCTGCATATACATATTCCAGCTCTAGTTCTATAATGGATATGGGCAGACAGTGCTCACTCTCAGGTGTAATTTGAGGGTATGTACATCCAAATTGGAGGAAGGGTTTAGGAATTACAGCTCTTAAGAGTAGCCATCCTCCCTTTTTCAAGGGAGCAAAAGTAATTGGACAATTGAATCAAAAGCTGTTCCATGGCCAGGTGTGGGCTACTCCTTCATTATTTCTTCATCAATTAAGCAGGTAGAAGGTCTGGAGTTGATTATAAGTGTGGGATTTGCATTTGGAATCTATTGCTGTGAACCTCCATCATGCGTTCAAAGGAGCCGTCCATGCAAGTGAAACAGGCCTCAAAAACGGGCTTCAAAAATTAAGCAAATCCATCAGAGAGATCACAGCAACATTAGGAGGCCAAATCAACAGTTTGGTACATTCTGAGGAAAGAAGAACGCACTGGTGAGCTCAGCAACATAAAAAGGCATGGAGGTCCACGGAAGACAACAGTGGTGGATGATCGCAGGATCCTCTCTATGGTAAAGAAAAACCCATTCACAACATTCAGACAAGTGAAGGACACTCTCCAGGAGGTGGGCGTATCATTGTCAGTCTACAATCAAGAGAAGACTTCACGAGAGCAAATACAGAGGGTTCCCCACAAGGTGCAAACCATTCATAAGCCTGAAGAATTGAAAAGCCAGATTAGACTTTGCCAAAAAACATCTATAAAATCCAGACCAGTTCTGGAAAAGCATTATTTGGATGTATGAAACTAAGATGAATCTGTACCAGAATGATGGGAAGAAAAATGTGTGGAGAAGGCTTGGAACAGCTCATGATCCAAAGCACACAACGTCATCTGTACAACATAGAGGCGGCAGGGTGATGGCATGGGCATGCATGGCTTCCAGTGGCACTGGGTCATTGGTGTTGATTGATGCGACAGAAGCAGCCGGATGAATTCTGCCGTGTTTACAGATATACTGTCAGCCCAGATTCAGCCAAATGCAGCAAAGGAGATTGGACGGCGCTTCACAGTACAGATGGACGATGATCCAAAACACACTGAAAAAGCAACCCAGGAGCTTCTGAAAGAAAATGAGTGGAATATTCTGCAATGGCCGAGCCAATCACCTGATCTCCACCTCATTGAGCATGCATTTCACTTGGTGAAGGCAAAACTAAAGGCAGAAAGACCCAGAAACAAAGAAAAACTAAAGACATCTCCAGTTAGATCCTGGCAAAGCATCAGAAAGGAGGAAACCCAGTCTTTGGTCATCTCCATGGGTTCCAGACTTCAGGCAAAGCATCAGAAAGGAGGAAACCCAGTCTTTGGTCATCTCCATGGGTTCCAGACTTCAGGCAAAGCATCAGAAAGGAGGAAACCCAATCTTTGGTCATGTCCATGGGTTCCAGACTTCAGGCAGTCATTGCCAGTAAAGGATTTTCAACAAAATATTACAAATAAACATTTTATTTATGATTATATTCAATTGTCCAATTACTTTTGGTTCCTTGACAAAGGGGGGGGTGGCTACTCTTAAGAGCTGTAATTCCTAAACCCTTCCGCCAGTCTGGATGTACATACCCTCAAATTACACCTGAGAGTGTGCACTGTCCACCCATATCCATTATATAGCTAAAGCTTGAATATCTTTTGGCAAATACCTGAAAAAAACTAAAATTGTCCGTGTCCAAAATATATATGGACCTAACTGTATACAGTGCCATCAATTTACCCAGCGATGTATGTATATATTGTACATTCACATCAGTCCCTAACCCTCAAGGAGCGTACAATCGAAGGTCCCTAACTCGCATTCATTTATAGATATATAACATTCACCTCAGTCTCCGCCCCCGAGGAGCGTACAATCTAAGGTCCCTAACTCACATTTATACATACACACATATATATCGTACATTCACCTCAGTCCCCGCCCCCGAGGAGCATACAATCTAAGGTCCCTAACTCACATTCATACATACACACATTTATAGTACATTCACCTCAGTCTCCGCCCCCCGAGGAGCGTACAATCTAAGGTCCCTAACTCACATTCATACATAAACATACTGGGGCCAATTTTAGTCAGGAGCCAGTAAACCTACCAGCATGTCTCTGGAGTGTGGGAGGAAACTGGAGTACCTGGATGAAACGCACGCAGGCACAGGGAGTACATGCAAACTCCAGGCAGGTGGTGCTGTGGTTGGGATTTGAAATGACGACCCGAGTACTGCCAGGTTGGAGTGTTAACCATTTAGCCACTGTGCTGCCATAATTCATTTTAAAACCTACTTAATCTGGAGTTTGCCTTTACCTGTGTTTTGTACCCGGTGTAATTCAGGGGGAGAAGGACTGGCAGAAATATGAGACCGCCCGGCGCCTGAAAGATGTGGTAGGTCACATCCGTTCCCAGTATCGAAAGGATTGGAAATCCCGTGAGATGAAAAAGAGACAGATAGCCGTGGCACTGTATTTCATTGATAAGGTACAGAAACTGCCATAGGTATGAGATTTAACTCCGTGAATCTTTTAAACGATTGATTTTTCTTTTCTGCACGGCTCTGTATTCTGCCACTAAACCTCTCCAATGCAGCAGAATTTGAGATGGAAAGTCGTTCTGTCATAATGAACCAGAAATATAGCAAAATCATTGCAAAAGCAAAAAAAAAGGACAGGTTATGCAGAGGCGTCCCTGGGGCTGGTGTCGCCCGGTGCGGTAACACATGGTGTCACCCCTCCAGAGAGGATGGAGCGGTGCCAGTGTAGCGGTAAAATGTGTATCCCTTGAAGCAACGGCGCATGTGCCGATTTCACTGTTCAACAGGTAAAAAGTTTTGGGCATAAAATTAGCTAATCTTACATAATTTTGGGGTGCTGAAAACGAAAATGACCCTAAAAAATGTTGATTGGCTCTAGTTTCCATGATATATTCACCCATCTAATGACGTAAGCCATTCAAAATTATGATGATTTGTTAAGGCAATGGACAAGAATAAAGCAGGTTTCAAGTACCTGATTAGCAAATTTCCAGCACTTAGTGCTGCAAAAATAAATGAAGGAGTCTTTGTTGGGCCACAGATTCGTAAACTTATTCATGATGATGAGTTTCTTTCTCTGTTGCGTGGAAAGGAAAAGGCTGCCTGGACAGCATTTGTATCAGTGACATCAAATTTTCTTGGAAACAATAAAACACCAGACTACAAGAAAGTGGTAGAAAAACTCATCCAGACTTACAGAAATCTGGGTTGCAACATGTCTCTAAAAATTCATTTTCTACATTCGCATCTGGATTTTTTCCCACCAAACTGTGGAGCAGTGAGTGATGAACACGGAGAGCGCTTCCATCAAGACATTGCAGCTATGGAAAGAAGATATCAAGGTAAATGGAGCCCATGAATGCTTGCTGACTATTGCTGGACAGTTGTAAGAGATAGCCCTTTCCTCGAATACAAGAGCAAAGCCAAGAGAAGCAAAACCGACACAAACTGAAGACAAAACTAGTGAGAATCCTAAGTATTAAAATGATTCAACTTAGCTTATGGCTATAATTTTCTTGGTAATCCTATGCAATATATTATGCCATTTAGGCTTTGTTATGTAGTCAATATCACTTGCTTTATATTTGTGGAAAGACATCTATCTATATAATTATTGTGCATTATGTAGTCATTACGCCTATAGTAGAAAACTTTCCGTTTACAGAAAAACTAGAGCCAATTGACAAATTTCATTGTTATATTTGAACTCAGAATGTGAAATTCATTAAGAAATGGATCCTTTTGTTTCCAAAACTGGCAAAAAATAAAAATTTGTTGAACAGTGTTTCAGGCCGAAGAAGTCGATCTCCAACTTTAGCACAGAGCCGGCGATCGGCTTCTTCGGCCTGAAACCGGCACATGCGCAGTTGTTTCAGGGGATACTCATTCTACGGCTAAATCGGGGGCGGGGGCAGCTGTCACCGTGTCGGCATCCTGCTCCTGCACCCCCTGTGATGGTGTCACCCGGTGCGGCCCGCACCCCCCCTAGGGACGCCATTCAAGTTATGACATTTTAAGGAAACAAGACTTTGGAGGTAAATATAAGGTGCTATGACTGCAAACAGGATTTAGTGTGTTTCTGACATTTTCTGTTTCTTAGACTTTCAGGAAATTACCAGCATAATTTTCACCTTCGTCCCAATATGACACCAAAAAATGGATCAATTGAATAGGGAAGCTTTGAAAATAGCAAGGAATGAGATTGGCCAGAAAGGAGAAATCTGTGTGACAATTTGAGGCCTAATAAATAGAACCATAGAATGTGAGAAGCCTTAACAATGTTTATATATATATATATATATATATATATATATATATATATATATATATATAATGTATATGTGTGTATATGTATGTATGTGTGTATATATATATATATATATATATATATATATATATAATGTGTTTGATACTTTGCAATTCCAAGTAGGGGGCACGCGAATGCTATTCGTGGCAACGGCTGTCAATCAACGGGTCCCGGTCAGTGATTACTCGCCGGCACCCAGTGATCGTGGCGCATTACCGACGGGGGAGAGAGCTGTATGTAAACAATACAGTTCTCTCCCCTGTAAGCTTCTGCACACTGCTTTGCATAGCAGAGATATACAAAGCAGTGTGCTTGCAGTGGAAATCCAAAAAAAAAAAAAAAAAAATCTGATTCTTTTATTTATTTATTTAAATTTTTTTTTTATCATTGATTTTTATCCACCGTTTTCATGTAGTTAATTATCATGACTAAATAAACTTTTATTCACATTGGATTATATTTGTCATTTTGACAATAAATAGCTTGCTATTGGACATCCAGTTGGTCTTGCGCCACTTTGTAGCCCCTAACCATAGCGCTTGGCATTACTGTTTTTGTTGTTTGTTTTTTTTGGGGGGGGGGGTTCACTAGATCCGCCCTCCCCGGTCTACAGACCCCGCATTCACTATATCCGCTCTCCCCGGACCCCGCATTCACTATATCCGCTCTCCCCGGACCCCGCATTCACTATATCGCTCTCCCCGGACCCCGCATTCACTATATCCGCTCTCCCCGGACCCCGCATTCACTATATCCGCTCTCCCCGGACCCCGCATTCACCATATCCGCTCTCCCCGGACCCCGCATTCACCATATCCGCTCTCCCCGGACCCCGCATTCACCATATCCGCTCTCCCCCGGACCCCGCATTCACCATATCCGCTCTCCCCGGACCCCGCATTCACCATATCCGCCCTCCCCGGACCCCGCATTCACCGTATCCGCCCTCCCCGGACCCCGCATTCACTGTATCCGCCCTCCCCGGACCCCGCATTCACTGTATCCGCCCTCCCCGGACCCCGCATTCACTGTATCCGCCCTCCCCGGACCCCGCATTCACTGTATCCGCCCTCCCCGGACCCCGCATTCACTGTATCCGCCCTCCCCGGACCCCGCATTCACTGTATCCGCCCTCCCCGGACCCCGCATTCACTGTATCCGCCCTCCCCGGACCCCGCATTCACTGTAGATCCGCCCTCCCCGGACCCCGCATTCACTGTATCCGCCCTCCCCGGACCCCGCATTCACTGTATCCGCCCTCCCCGGACCCCGCATTCACTGTATCCGCCCTCCCCGGACCCCGCATTCACTGTATCCGCCCTCCCCGGACCCCGCATTCACTGTATCCGCCCTCCCCGGACCCCGCATTCACTGTACCCCCTCCCCCGGGAACCCCGCTCTCCCCCCCGGACCCCGCATTCACTGTACCGCGCTCTCCCCGGACCCCGCATTCACTGTACCCGCTCTACCCGGACCCCGCATTCACTGTACCCCGCTCTACCCCGGACCCCGCATTCGCTGTACCCGCTCTACCCGGACCCCGCATTCACTGTACCCGCTCTACCCGGACCCCGCATTCACTGTACCCGCTCTACCCCGGACCCCGCATTCACTGTACCCGCTCTACCCGGACCCCGCATTCACTGTACCCGCTCTCCCCGGACCCCGCATTCACTGTACCCCGCTCTCCCCGGACCCCGCATTCACTAGATCCTAGATCCGCCCTCCCCGGACCCCGCATGCGCTAGATCCGCCCTCCCCGGACCCCGCATTCACTAGATCCGCCCTCCCCGGACCCCGCATTCACTAGATCTGCCCTCCCCGGACCCCGCATTCACTAGATCCGCCCTCCCCGGACCCCGCATTCGCTAGATCCGCCCTCCCCGGACCCCGCATGCGCTAGATCTCCGCCCTCCCCGGACCCCGCATGCGCTAGATCCGCCCTCCCCGGACCCCGCATTCACTATATCCTCTCTCCCCGGACCCCGCATTCACTAGATCCTCCTCCCCCGGACCCCGCATGCGCTAGATCCGCCCTCCCCGGACCCCGCATGCACTAGATCCGCCCTCCCCGGACCCCGCATGCGCTAGATCCGCCCTCCCCCGGACCCCGCATGCGCTAGATCCGCCCTCCCCGGACCCCGCATTCACTAGACCGCCCTCCCCGGACCCCGCATTCACTATCCTCTCTCCCCGGACCCCGCATTCACTATGTCCGCCTCCCCGGACCCCGCATTCACTATGTCCGCTCTCCCACAGGATGCATAACATGGAAATGCAGTTATTTTAGTAAATATAAACTGCTAAATACCATTTCTCATCAGCTGTAATATGTAGCAGTCTTGTGACTTCTATCAGTGTCCAGCAGAGCCCTGGTTAATGCTTGTAGGAGTTTTTTTTTTTTTTTTTTTCTGCTCTAGCAGGGTGCAGAACCCCTGACTTCTGTCTGGACAGTACTGATTGGCCCTGTGCTGATCACATGCACTCTCCCAAGAAAAAAAAAAAAAATCTCTAACAATACACACCAAACTGAGCATGTGCAGAGTGACTCCACATGATATGTCTTATCAGGAGATAAAAGGGGGTCACTGAAAGAAACGGAGTATCCGAGAAGACAGGATCAAACAGCCATTTTACATAATGCGGAGGATTAACCCCTTAGGTCCCACAGTGAGTATATCAAGCATGCTTTCCTGCATCTACAGACTGATTGTAGTTGTGGGTTTAATACCACTTTGAGGGTTGGAGGATGGTACAGCGGCAGGTGGTGGGTGATGCAAACATCCAGCCCTTCGGGGAGTGTCGAATGGAGAAGATACTAATGGACGATGCATCGATGGTACGAAGGGATGGTAGGCGATATCGGCCGCCAGAGAGACACAATGTACGCTTGGCACATGTAGATTCTTAGGCAGGTGACCATTTACAGGGCCGGGCACACAACAGCTGATGTGTTTTTTTTCCTGGCAGTTGGCCTTGCGAGCGGGCAATGAGAAGGAAGAGGGTGAGACGGCCGACACTGTGGGCTGCTGCTCCCTGCGGGTGGAACACATTCAACTGTTTCCTGAGCTGGATGGTCAGAAGCACGTGGTGGAGTTCGACTTCCTGGGGAAAGACTCCATAAGATACTACAACAAGGTGCCCGTGGAGAAAGAGGTGAGGACCCGAGTTGTCACTGTCTACAATCACGTCTGGTTTGTGAGCCGCTACATCAACTTTTCTCAGCCAGGGTGCCTTGAGGTCTCTTCAGGGGTGCCTTGAGGTCTCTTCAGGGGTGCCTTGAGGTCTCTTCAGGGGTGCCTTGGCAAAATGTCTAAAAGTTGCCCAAAACTTGTATACAAGCCAGCGGGTGGAACAAGCCAGCCTTTTAGTTATACAAAGCGTTCATTGTGCACCATTACAACCTTCTAACCGCCGGCGTCCTAACAACCAGTGACATCATCAGTTGATAAGGAGGATTTCAGCCCCCTCCATCCTAGTTTGCCCTGGGGGGTCACATTAGCTCAGTGATGGAGAACTGAGGGAGAGGAGAAACATTGGCATACTAGTCAGTACCAGCGTGCAGAAGTGTATTTGCTTTGGAAGAATAAATCGCATCTAATGTTGGGTGTCCTACATGTGTGGATGTTGCTGCGTTATATACAACTATTAGAATAGTTTTTTACATTTTAGAATGGGGTGCCTCAGGACTGTCCATAATTATAAAGGGTGCCTCAAGACTGTCCATAATTATAAAGGGTGCCTCAGGACTGTCCATAATTATAAAGGGTGCCTCAAGACTATCCATAATTATAAAGGGTGCCTCAAGACTGTCCATAATTATAAAGGGTGCCTCAGGACTGTCCATAATTATAAAGGGTGCCTCAAGATTGTCCATTATAAAGGGTGCCTCAAGACTGTCCATAATTATAAAGGGTGCCTCAAGACTGTCCATAATTGTAAAGGGTGCCTCAAGACTGTCTATAATTATAAAGGGTGCCTCAAGACTGTCCATAATTATAAAGGGTGCCTCAAGACTGTCCATAATTATAAAGGGGGTGCCTCAAGACTGTCCATAATTATAAAGGGTGCCTCAAGACTGTCCATAATTATAAAGGGTGCCTCAAGACTGTCTATAATTATAAAGGGTGCCTCAAGACTGTCCATAATTATAAAGGGGGTGCCTCAAGACTGTCCATAATTATAAAGGGTGCCTCAAGACTGTCTATAATTATAAAGGGTGCCTCAAGACTGTCCATAATTATAAAGGGTGCCTCAAGACTGTCCATAATTATAAAGGGTGCCTCAGGACTGTCCATAATTATAAAGGGTGCCTCAAGACTGTCTATAATTATAAAGGGTGCCTCAAGACTGTCCATAATTATAAAGGGTGCCTTGACTGAAAAAAATTGAGAAATACTGCTCTAGATTGTGAAATATGCAGTGGTAATGGTTGTTTATTTGAACCCTTTAGCACCGATTTCATACAAATATGGACTGGGCTTTTTTCTGTGGGGCCGTATATTTGCGTTCTCTTTTGTGCTGGGAGAGTGCTCCCAGCACCAAGACTGAGGTCTCACCGAGGGTGATGGGTCCTGTAGTAACAATTGGGACCTGGAACTCCTGATTCTGGGTCATCTGATCTCTGTGATGGCCTCTGATTTGGCTAGCACAGTGATCGGTCACTGGCACTGACCTAGATCAAACTTTGAGCTAGGTTTTTGAGATTATAAGGTTTGTTTGGTTTTTTTTTATTGTTAACTATTATTGTCATTATTTTTACACACTTGGATTTTTTTTTTTTTTTTTTTCTGCAAGGATAGAGATCCAATGTAATCCTTAATTCAGAGAGATCCAATGTAATCCTTGCAGAGAGATACAATGTGTCTCTCCTTAATTCAGAGAGATCCAATGTGTCTCGCTGAATGAAGGCGAGATGCGTTGTGTCTCTCTGAATGAAGGCGAGATGCGTTGTGCCTCTCTGAATGAAGGCGAGATGCGTTGTGCCTCTCTGAATGAAGGCGAGATGCGTTGTGCCTCTCTGAATGAAGGCGAGATGCGTTGTGCCTCTCTGAATGAAGGCGAGATGCGTTGTGCCTCTCTGAATGAAGGCGAGATGCGTTGTGTCTCCCTGAATGAAGGCGAGATGCGTTGTGTCTCCCTGAATGAAGGCGAGATGCGTTGTGTCTCCCTGAATGAAGGCGAGATGCGTTGTCTGTCTGAATGAAGGCGAGATGCGTTGTGCCTCTCTGAATGAAGGCGAGATGCGTTGTGCCTCCCTGAATGAAGGCGAGATGCGTTGTGCCTCCCTGAATGAAGGCGAGATGCGTTGTGCCTCCCTGAATGAAGGCGAGATGCGTTGTGCCTCCCTGAATGAAGGCGAGATGCGTTGTGCCTCCCTGAATGAAGGCGAGATGCGTTGTGCCTCCCTGAATGAAGGCGAGATGCGTTGTGCTCTCTGAATGAAGGCGAGATGCGTTGTGCCTCCCTGAATGAAGGCGAGATGCGTTGTGCCTCCCTGAATGAAGGCGAGATGCGTTGTGCCTCTCTGAATGAAGGCGAGATGCGTTGTGCCTCTCTGAATGAAGGCGAGATGCGTTGTGCCTCTCTGAATGAAGGCGAGATGCGTTGTGCCTCTCTGAATGAAGGCGAGATGCGTTGTGCCTCTCTGAATGAAGGCGAGATGCGTTGTGCCTCTCTGAATGAAGGCGAGATGCGTTGTGCCTCTCTGAATGAAGGCGAGATGCGTTGTCTCCCTGAATGAAGGAGAGATGCGTTGTGCCTCTCTGAATGAAGGCGAGATGCGTTGTGCCTCTCTGAATGAAGGCGAGATGCGTTGTGCCTCTCTGAATGAAGGCGAGATGCGTTGTGCCTCTCTGAGTGAAGGCGAGATGCGTTGTGCCTCTCTGAATGAAGGCGAGATGCGTTGTGCCTCTCTGAATGAAGGCGAGATGCGTTGTGCCTCTCTGAATGAAGGCGAGATGCGTTGTGTCTCCCTGAATGAAGGCGAGATGCGTTGTGCCTCCCTGAATGAAGGCGAGATGCGTTGTGCCTCCCTGAATGAAGGCGAGATGCGTTGTGCCTCCCTGAATGAAGGCGAGATGCGTTGTGCCTCCCTGAATGAAGGCGAGATGCGTTGTGCTCCCTGAATGAAGGCGAGATGCGTTGTGCCTCCCTGAATGAAGGCGAGATGCGTTGTGCCTCTCTGAATGAAGGCGAGATGCGTTGTGCCTCTCTGAATGAAGGCGAGATGCGTTGTGCCTCTCTGAATGAAGGCGAGATGCGTTGTGCCTCCCTGAATGAAGGCGAGATGCGTTGTGCCTCCCTGAATGAAGGCGAGATGCGTTGTGCCTCCCTGAATGAAGGCGAGATGCGAGATGTGCCTCCCTGAATGAAGGCGAGATGCGTTGTGCCTCCCTGAATGAAGGCGAGATGCGTTGTGCCTCCCTGAATGAAGGCGAGATGCGTTGTGCCTCTCTGAATGAAGGCGAGATGCGTTGTGTCCTCTCTGAATGAAGGCGAGATGCGTTGTGCCTCTCTGAATGAAGGCGAGATGCGTTGTGCCTCTCTGAATGAAGGCGAGATGCGTTGTGCCTCTCTGAATGAAGGCGAGATGCGTTGTGCCTCTCTGAATGAAGGCGAGATGCGTTGTGCCTCTCTGAATGAAGGCGAGATGCGTTGTGCCTCTCTGAATGAAGGCGAGATGCGTTGTGCCTGAATGAAGGCGAGATGCGTTGTGCCTGAATGAAGGCGAGATGCGTTGTGCCTGAATGAAGGCGAGATGCGTTGTGCCTGAATGAAGGCGAGATGCGTTGTCTCCCTGAATGAAGGCGAGATGCGTTGTCTCCCTGAATGAAGGCGAGATGCGTTGTCTCCCTGAATGAAGGCGAGATGCGTTGTCTCCCCTGAATGAAGGCGAGATGCGTTGTCTCTCCCTGAATGAAGGCGAGATGCGCTGTCTCTCCCTGAATGAAGGCGAGATGCGCTTGTGTCTCCCTGAATGAAGGCGAGATGCGCTGTGCTCTCTGAATGAAGGCGAGATGCGCTCTCTCTCCCTGAATGAAGGCGAGATGCGCTGTGCCTCTCTGAATGAAGGCGAGATGCGCTGTCTCTCCCTGAATGAAGGCGAGATGCGTGTCTCTCCCTGAATGAAGGCGAGATGCGCTGTCTCTCCCTGAATGAAGGCGAGATGCGCTGTCTCTCCCTGAATGAAGGCGAGATGCGCTGTCTCTCCCTGAATGAAGGCGAGATGCGCTGTGCTCTCCCTGAATGAAGGCGAGATGCGCTGTCTCTCTCCTGAATGAAGGCGAGATGCGCTGTCTCTCCCTGAATGAAGGCGAGATGCGCTGTCTCTCCCTGAATGAAGGCGAGATGCGCTGTCTCTCCCTGAATGAAGGCGAGATGCGCTGTCTCTCCCTGAATGAAGGAGAGATGCGCTGTCTCTCCCTGAATGAAGGAGAGATCCGTTGTCTCTCCTTCATTCACAGAGAGAAAACATGGGGGCGGGCTTCACACTGACTAATCACTGTGATAGCCAATTAAAGGCCATCACAGAGAATCAGATGACCTAGAACTCCTCATTCTGGGTCACCTTATCTCTGTGATGGCCTCTGATTGGCTATTGGTCAGTCACTGTAAAGCCCGCCCCCATGTTTTCTCTCTGTGAATGAAGGAGAGATACATTATATCTCATATCTCTATCCTTGTAGAGAGAAAAAATTGTATAAAAAAAAGTGTGTAAAAATATAAAAAAAATAAAAAAACCTAGATCAAGTTTTGATCTAGGTCATTGCCAGGGTTAGTGTTTGGGTCATGGTCACGATTTGTTTTTTTTTTTTTTTCTTTTTTAACCCTTGCCCTCCAGAGGATTTACCCCCCTTAATGACCACGCCTCTTTTTGCTACTCGGCGCTGCACTAATTCAACTGATAATTGCGCGGTCATGCAATGCTGCACCCAAACGAAATTTACGTCCTTTTTTTCACACGAATAGAGCTTTCTTTCTGTGGTATTTGATCACCTGTGCACTTTTTATTTTTCACGCTATAAACAAAAAAAGACCAAAAATTTTGAAGAAAAACAATATTTTTTACATTCAGCTATAAAAAAATATATAGTAAACTCAAAGTTGGTTATAAATTTAGGCCAAAATGTATTCTGCTCCATGTTTTTGGTAAAAAAAAATCCCAATAAGTGTATATTGATTGCTTTGTGTGGAAGGAAGTTATAGCGTCTACAAACTATGGTATAGATACTGCAATTTACGCCATTTTTCTGCTATACAGCGCTGCGCTAGTTTAACAGACAATTGCGCGGTCATGCAATACGGTACATAAATGAAATTTACATCCTTTTTTTTCCCCACAAATTGAGCTTTCTTTCGGTGGTATTTGATCGCCTGTGCGGTTTTTATTTTTTGCGCTATAAAAAAAAAAAAAGGCTGATAATTTTGAGGAAAAAAAAAAAACAATATTTTGGACTTTTTGCTATAAAACATGTCCAGTAAAAAAAAATTTAAAAATCAAATTTAGTCATAAATTTCTGCCAAAATGCATTCTGCGACATGTCTTTGCTAAAAAAAAAAACCCCAATACGTGTAAATTAATTGGTTTACATGAAAGTTATAGCGTTTACAAATGGCGGGAAAGATACTGGGATTTTTAGGTTTTTTTATACTAATAATGGCGGCGATCAGCGACTTATGGAGGGACTGCGGCGGACATTCTGACATTGGGGGGTACTGACTTGGGGTCACTGACATCCCCAAAAACACCAATAGTGATCAGTGCAAAAAAAAAAAAACACTGACACTGTACTAATGGCAATGGGGAGGAAGGGGTTAACTTTATTTTTCAGGGAAAGGGTTATCTGTGTGAGGGGAGTGTTTTACTAGGGGGGCGGGGTGTGTGCTGCACGGGACACCGCTGATCGGGAGAGAGAAACTCTTCTGTCCTGGAGTGTTCTTCAGCTGTCAGGGAAGTGACAGCAGCACAGCTACTGCAGCTGTGCTCTCTGTCAGCGATTGCCGCCGATCGCCGGGAGATAGCCGGTAAGGAGCGGCTGTGACCCGGCGACTGACATCTGCGGCTGTGACCGGCGGGACAAGCAGGGCGGCGGCATGCCTCGCGCGCGCATCCTACCTGTTTACAAAACACACATTTTTAAAACGTGGTTTTGCCTGCCCGTGCCGCCCTGCCGCCGTATTTCTACAGTGGCAGGGCGGCATGTGGTTAAAGTGGTATTCGTGTCAGTTTTAGTGCAAGTGTATTTTAGGTAGGATTACAAAAAAAAAATGCAAAATGCTCACTATTGTTTCTGGGCCGTACTATATACACACGTGGTTTCACTGCGATCGTCGGGAGCAGGAGAATTTATTCCTTGGTGGTGCTAAGACAGGGTGGGGGTGCAGACAAAGGGGTACTTGAAGGAGAGGTGCAAGGGCCACGTGAAATGGCCTGGAGGGCCGGATTCGGCCTTCGGGCCTTGTGTGTCACACCTGTGTTATAGACCGTATGTTAGGTTTCAAGCCCCTCCTATCTGGAGGCTTTGGGAGTCGGGGGAGGAAGTTATGTTTTTGTATGGACAGGCTGCCTGCATGTAGCACTATTTTTTTTTCGGGGGGGGGGGGTTCTTTGTAAAGCAATTATAAAATCTCCTCTTAAATACTATTTGGGTTTTTTTCTTTGTAATGCCTCTAGTACAATAAAATACCTGGTAATCTGCCAGAAGTCCAGCGAGCTCTCCTAACTTCCTGTATGAGCTGACAACCTGACCCTAACGTACTGAAATCTAAAGCAGTGTTGTCGTGCCCACCCATTTCTCCTCTGATGAATAACAGAGCACCTCCCCCTTTTCCTCATTTCTACAACAGAAGGGAGGTGTTCTGTAGCTCAGCTCCAAAGAACTAGGCGGGTCCAATAACACGGCTTTGGGATGTCAGTTCAGAAAATAAGGAAATGTATTGAAGTCACTTCTGTGTTTTTTTTGTTTTAGGTGTTTAAGAATCTCAAACGATTCATGGAGAATAAGGATCCGGACGATGATCTGTTTGACCGGCTCCCTGATGTTCTGAATGTGAGTCGGTTCTGTTTCTAAGAATTTGCATGGGGGAGGGGGGGGGTTTGAACCAGGGGCGGACTGACCATTCATGGGGCCCCCGGGCAATAGGGGATCATGGGGCCCCTGTGTCCTTGCCCAAACTCAAAAAAGCCTATGAAAAAGGGACCAGGGGCATCTCATGGGGCCCCCTACTGACCCCGGGCCCTCGGGCAGTGCCCGAGTTTCCAAATGGTCAGTCCGCCCCTGGTTTGAACTATGGTAGCTTCATAACAGAGTGGAAATATAAGGGGGTTATTTACTAAAACTGAAGAGTTCAACATCTGGTGCAGCTCTGCATAGAGACCAATCAGCTTCCAGGTTTTATTTTCAAAGCTTCATTGAACAAGCTGAAGTTAGAAGCCGATTGGCCACCATGCAGAGCTGCACCAGATTTTGCACTTTTCGGTTTTAGGAAGTCAAACCCATTAACACCGTGTCCTTACAGCCCTGACGTTCATGACTATACCTCAAGTGTGGTGCGAACGCCATTTACATATGCATTTGCACATAAGCACGGGGACGGGGTGCTTTACATTTTTTTTTATTTATTTAAACTTTAAAAAAAAAAAACGTTTATTTTTTACTGTCAATTTGTTTATTTTTTGTGCTTTTTATTTCTTTCACAATAGATGCACAACATCCCTTGTGAAAGCATGGGCCATCACAGGTCCTCTTTATGCAGAGATCTGCGTCTGTTAGACCTCTCTCTCCTTTGGGGTCCAGTGCAGTTGATCAGACGCAGATTGGTCTGATCTGCGCATTCCTAGCAAACGAAGAGCCGAAGTGACGAAATCTCGCCGCTTACAGTGTTTGAGGTCACAGAGAGGGAAGAGTAACGTCGGTTCTTCTCTCTCTGTATAATGTCGCCGCTGCTGGTTACAGTGGTCCCTGGCTCTGCGATCGGACAGGTGAGGCTGGGATAGGCGCCGATATCGGAGACCCAATTGCGCTGCCCGCAGAAGTGATCGAGGGACTGTTTAGCCAATCTAATCACTTCTGCATGAAAGACAATCCAACACGGCAAACGCTTTTCTCCTGCACTGGGAATGGACTCAGTGGAACCAATAAGAATGTGCGGGGGGCGTGCTTTTGGAGGACATCATATGATGACCAAATGGCGGCTGCATCGCGGTTAGCAAGTGGTTAAAATAATGCCAGTTTTTAACCACTTCCCGACCGGCCGTTGTATATAAACGGCCGGACGGTGGCAGTGCAGGGTCGGGTGGCCGTTTATGAACGGCCTCCCCGCACCCTGCTTGTGCGCGCTTTCTGGGATCCGCAGGTGCCCGCTGTGTCCTCCGGACACAGTGAAACACCGATCGTCGGACAGGACCTCTGTACGAGGTCCTGATCATGTGATCACTGATTGGCGAATCAGTGATCACATGCAAAGTAGTAAGCAAGACGTCACTTGTGACATCATTGCTTACTACGTGTGAAATCTGTGAATGGTCACAGAGGTCACATGGTACAGGGCTATTCACAACAGGCTTGTACCATGTGACAAGCTGTGACCAATCACAGCTCACTCAGTACTTCTCAATGAGTGCAAGGAATGCACACAGAGAGAAAGAGAAATGATTGCTTTTACATCCTATATGGGTGTAAAAGCAATCACTGTAAAAAAAAAAAAAAAAAAAAAAAAAAATCTTCATCACCCTCCACAAGTAGTACAGTGTCACCATGGTGACACTGTACTGCTAGGGTGACAGTATGTAAAAAAAATAAAATAAAAATGTAAAAAAAAATGTTTAAAAATTATAATTTTTGGTTATAAACTAATTTTTTTTTTTTTTTTTTTTACTAAAAAGATAACGGAATAAATTTTGGCAAATATTTATGATGAAATATTATTTATTTGCAAAATTTTATAAAAAAAAAAACACTTTTGTTCAAAATTGTTGGACTTTTCATTTACATAGCAAAAAAAAATAAAAATCCGAGCGGTGAATAAATACCACCAAAATAAAGCTTTATCTGTCGCAAAAAAATGGTAAAAAATTCATATGGGTACAGTGTTGCATGACCGCGCAATTGTCATTCAAAGTGTGATAGCGCTGAAAGCTGAAAATTGCCCTGGTCAGGGAGGGGGTAAAAGTGTCCGGTCTGGAAGGGGGGGAAAGTGTCCGGACTGGAAGGGGGGGAAAGTGTCCGGACTGGAAGGGGGGGAAAGTGTCCGGACTGGAAGGGGGGGAAAGTGTCCGGACTGGAAGGGGGGGAAAGTGTCCGGACTGGAAGGGGGTGAAAGTGTCCGGACTGGAAGGGGGGGAAAGTGTCCGGACTGGAAGGGGGGGAAAGTGTCCGGACTGGAAGGGGGGGAAAAGTGTCCGGACTGGAAGGGGGTGAAAGTGTCCGGACTGGAAGGGGGGGGGGAAAGCGTCCGGACTGGAAGGGGGAGGGAAAGCGTCCGGACTGGAAGGGGGGGAAAGCGTCGGACTGGAAGGGGGGGAAAGCGTCCGGACTGGAAGGGGGGGAAAGTGTCCGGACTGGAAGGGGGGGAAAGTGTCCGGACTGGAAGGGGGGGAAAGTGTCCGGACTGGAAGGGGGGGAAAGTGTCCGGACTGGAAGGAGGTGAAAGTGTCCGGACTGGAAGGAGGTGAAAGTGTCCGGACTGGAAGGAGGTGAAAGTGTCCGGACTGGAAGGAGGTGAAAGTGTCCGGACTGGAAGGAGGTGAAAGTGTCCGGACTGGAAGGGGGGGAAAGTGTCCGGACTGGAAGGGGGGGAAAGTGTCCGGACTGGAAGGGGGGGAAAGTGTCCGGACTGGAAGGGGGGGAAAGTGTCGGACTGGAAGGGGGGGAAAGTGTCCGGACTGGAAGGGGGGGGGAAAGTGTCCGGACTGGAAGGAGGTGAAAGTGTCCGGACTGGAAGGAGGTGAAAGTGTCCGGACTGGAAGGAGGTGAAAGTGTCCGGACTGGAAGGAGGTGAAAGTGTCCGGACTGGAAGGAGGTGAAAGTGTCCGGACTGGAAGGGGGGGGAAAGTGTCCGGACTGGAAGGGGGGGAAAGTGTCCGGACTGGAAGGGGGGGGAAAGTGTCCGGACTGGAAGGGGGGGGAAAGTGTCCGGACTGGAAGGGGGGGAAAGTGTCCGGACTGGAAGGGGGGAAAAGTGTCCGGACTGGAAGGGGGGAAAAGTGTCCGGACTGGAAGGGGGGGGGGGGGGAAGTGTCCGGACTGGAAGGGGGGGAAAGTGTCCGGACTGGAAGGGGGGGGGAAAGTGTCCGGACTGGAAGGGGGGGGAAAGTGTCCGGACTGGAAGGGGGTGAAAGTGTCCGGACTGGAAGGGGGGGAAAGTGTCCGGACTGGAAGGGGGGAAAGTGTCCGGACTGGAAGGGGGGGAAAGCGTCCGGACTGGAAGGGGGGGAAAGCGTCCGGTCTGGAAGGGGGGGAAAGCGTCCGGTCTGGAAGGGGGGGAAAGCGTCCGGACTGGAAGGGGTGGGAAAGCGTCCGGACTGGAAGGGGGGGGAAAGCGTCCGGACTGGAAGGGGGGGAAAGCGTCCGGACTGGAAGGGGGGGAAAGCGTCCGGACTGGAAGGGGGAGAAAGCGTCCGGACTGGAAGGGGGGGGTAAAGCGTCCGGACTGGAAGGGGGGGAAAGCGTCCGGACTGGAAGGGGGGGAAAAGCGTCCGGACTGGAAGGGGGGGGAAAGCGTCCGGACTGGAAGGGGGGGAAAGCGTCCGGACTGGAAGGGGGGGAAAGCGTCCGGACTGGAAGGGGGGGAAAGCGTCCGGACTGGAAGTGGTTAAATCCTCTAAGAAAAAAATGTAAATCATAAGGCACAGCAAAGACTGTCCGTAGGGAAGGCCCACCAATCCTGAGGGCTCGTTCCCATCACCACCGCTGGGCTGCGTTGCTCAGCACAGTCAAAGTGCAAGATCAGGCAGAGTGTCCTTGTTTGTAGTTCACACCATCGTTCACCCCAGAGGTTGTGTTTTATTGCAATATGCATGGAAAAGACAGAAGTCAAAACACCAAAAAAAAGGGGGGTGGGCAGAAAAAAACAGACTTCAAGTAACACATTGTAAAATGTCATTGGCATGCCCTATGCACTGATGCTCGGTGTCTGTGTAAGGAGGAGGCTGAGAAAAGCAACAGAGGCCGATAGTAACTGGGCGTAGACGTATCAGAAGTCCCTGCTGAGCCGGCCAAATTTCGATTTGTTTGTTGCCCTTCCTGTTCAACATAAGTCGATCATTAGGTAACCAAAAACCCCAGACCTTTTCCAGTGCTCCCTCACTTGCGGGCAAGTGATGTGCCGTTATCCTGAGGCTACATGTTGGAGTTTCGCTGCTTAAATTGGAGTTCCACTCACACTGTAAAAAAAAAAAAAAAATGTAGCTGCTGACTTTTAACCACTCACCTACAGGGCACTTATACCCCCTTCCTGCCCAGGCCAGCTTTCAGCGCTGTCTCACTTTGAATGACAATTGCGCGGTCATGCAACACTGTACTCATATGAAATTTCTATCATTTTTTGTGACAGAGCTTTATTTTGGTGGTATTTAATCACCTCGGGGTTTTTTATTTTTTGCTAAACAAACCAAACACCACTGAAAAGTTTGGGAAAAAAAAACGTTTCTTCGTTTTTCTTCTAAAATTTTGTAAATAAGTGATTTTTCTCCTTCACTGATTTGCGCTAATGAGGCTGCAGTGATGGGCACTGATAGGCTGCACTGATGGACGCTGATAGGGCACTGGCACTGATGAGGAGGCACTGGTAGGTGGCACTGATAAGGCATCACTGATAAGCACTGAAAGACAGCATATATAGGAAAGCATATATGTCACTGATAGGTGGCACTGTTAGGTTGGCACTGACTGGGCACTGTTAGGTTGGCACTGACTGGCACTGTTAGGTTGGCACTGACTGGCACTGTTAGGTTGGCACTGACTGGCACTGTTAGGTTGGCACTGACTGGCACTGTTAGGTTGGCACTGACTGGCACTGTTAGGTTGGCACTGACTGG